GAATGCGATATCACTAACTATGTGCGCATTCCAAGGCTACTACGGACTGGTCAAAGTTAAAGATGTGTGTGTGAAGTTAAGAGGGTATGGATGTGTGAGTAACAACAAAGTGGATCAAATAGGGAATTGCAAGGTTAGGTGCACTGCTGATAGGCAAAATCACTTGGAAATGGTAAACATGATTTTTTCCCGCTACGCTTCTCTTCCCTCAGGCTTTGATACAAGCGACAGACACGGAGAGACCAAAAGGGCGATTTTATACTCCGTATAGAGCGCATAGAAAGGGGGGGGGAAATGGGAATTGCGTGATTCGAGCTGGATTACTCATAGTGCGTCTTTTTCAATCGGCGACTTGACTTATACTCCGAGGCAAAAAAAACTTTTCTTTTCAAATAAAAAGAGGCACCAGGGGACAATTACCATAAAAAAATTTTTTCTTTACAGAGTGGAACCTCTTTTAGAATAGACATGACCTTTACAGGCAAGACCCTTATGCTGTCCTCCTCCTTCAGAACGCTCGTGCGTTCTCGCTCGTTTTCGACCACCGGTGCATCAAGGCTTTATATCCAGAACAACCTGAACAATGACCAAACCCATCCTTCGCTGCAAGCTGCTTCGAATGGTGCCAAAGTCTATGATTTCCGCAGCGATACGGTCACTAGCCCCACAGACGAGATGTTTGATATCATGAAGGCTGCTTCTCGTGGTGACGATGTGTTTCAGGTACAGTGGTTGTTGTAGTTGACAGTGGTGTGTAACCATGTTGTTGAAAGCTTTTCTGGTTTGTCGCATCGTTTAACGTTATTATTAACAACTTTTTAAAAGGAGGACCGCAGTGTCAAGGAGCTCGAAGAATACGTGGCCGACCTGTGTGGTCATGAAGCCGCACTGTTCTGCGCCTCGGGAACCATGACCAATCAGGCAAGTACAATGAGTTTCAACACACACAGAGAGAGAGAGAGAGAGAGAGCAAAAAGCTAACGTCTGATAATGTCCATCAAAACAGCTTGGCTTGCGTACCCATCTGTCCAACCCTCCCCACTCGGTCGTGTGCGATGCTCGGTCCCATGTGTTCCTCTGGGAAGCAGGTAAGAAAGAACGCTACTACCGCCGCCGTCCTGGAAGATATTCCGAGAAAAAGAAGGAAAAAAAAAAAAAACCTAACGACGTGTGGTGTGTGTGTTTTTCTCTTTAGGTGGTATTGCCTTCCACTCCCGAGCATCTGTGAGCCCGGTCATTTGCCGCAACGGTATCCATGTCACTGCCGATGAAATCGAGGGCAACCTGATTGAAGCCGATATCCACACCGCACCCACCCGTGTCGTGTCTCTGGAAAACACATTGAGCGGTATGGTCATGCCCATCGATGAGATCCGCAAAATTTCCGAGCTTGCTCGAAGCCGCGGTCTTGCCATGCACTTGGATGGTGCTCGGCTCTGGAACGCCCATGTCCAGTCGGGCACACCCTTGAGCGACTATGGTGCTCAATTCGATTCCATGTCCTTGTGCTTATCCAAGGGCGTCGGTGCTCCTGTTGGCTCCATCTTGGTCGGTAACCGTCCGTTTGTCGAACGTGCCCGCCATTTGCGTAAACTCTTCGGTGGTGGTTGGCGCCAGGTCGGTCCTCTGGCCGCCGTGGCAAAGCATTGCATCGAAACGGTCGTACCCACCATGCCAGAAACACACGCATTGGCCAGATATTTGGCGGATGAGCTGACAGCCATGGGTGTCCAGTTGCAAGTGCCAGTACATACAAACATGGTGTTGATTGATACTGCGCCCGTTGGTTTGGATGTTCAGAACGATTTGGTGCCGGCTTTGTTGTCCAAGAATATCGTGATCGGTGGTCAGCGCAACAAGTCTCGTATTGTACTCCATCATCAGGTTGACCGCAAGGGCGTGGATACATTGATTCAAGGTGTACGAGAAGCCATCGAAGCACGGCGCGTTGCTGAGCAGCCTACTCAACAAGCAGCAGCCTCTTCCTCTACTTTGTAGATATAACAACGTCTTTTTTATAACACATCACACTCATTCTTCTTCACATCTCCCTTCTCCAGCAAACATCCTCTTGTGCATAGATTCCCTCACTCTTCCTCCACCTCTACTACCTCTTGTACTATCCATATTATCATTTTTAAAATTGAACCGGTATATTTTACAAACATTTTTTTTTTTTTGCGTGTCTATTATCTGTCACAGTTTGTTTTAATGACGATGTGCCTTTGTCAATGTGACCTCAGCATCCTCGGCATTCAACAGCAGACCCTGCTTGACTCTTTCAGTATACATTCGCAGATCCTGACCCATGACTGTAATTCTAATCTGCACGTCACGTGCCTCATCCATGGTCTCTTGATGTTCGACGTGCGTCAATGTGTGTCTGCCAAATGCGTGGTTTAATATATACAATGCGTTATCTTGATCCAATCGGATAAATCCCTTGATACGGTAAATATCGTCCTTGGGCATCGTCTCGAGAAACTTGACCAATTGATCCTTTGACAAGGAAGAACCTCTTCGTTGCTGAATGACTTGGATCAAATCCACTTCGTTCTCTTGATGCTTTGGATCAAATACATTCTCTTCTAGTTTGTGTGTTTTGTTGTAGGCAACCGAAAAGAGTTGTGTGTCTAAGCCAAACACCAGGTCCGGAGAAATGGCCCCGTTTTCGCCGCATTTGACTTTGGGTGTATCCGTGTTTAGTTCGTTGACATGGTCTATAACACGGTCTAAATCCCGTTCAGATACCTGAGGAAGTTGCCCGCTCGATTAATTCTCTCGAAAGATCACATCTGTGTGCTTCCTCATTCAATATTGATATCAGTTAGCTTACTTGCTCGTGTTTGTTGAGAAGAATAACATCCGTGTATTGTGCTTGTAGCTTGGCAGTGTAGCTGGTATCCTCGTATCCCATAAAGTTTTGACAGTCAATGACAGTGACAATCGAGTCTAATACGAATCCTTCGTCTGCCATTTCTCGAATCTGCCATGCGATCGGTGCTGTTTGTTGTTGTCGTCATCAAAGCAAACTTCTTAAGTCCTAATCATCATCAAAGTCTCTAACGAAAGAGCTTTAGTCTTACCAGGAAAGGCGGATCCACTATAGATATACATTTGTGTATGCATGAGTACGCGTTCTCAAATATCACAGCATCAGTATCAATAGTCAGCCCCAAGTTTTACCTCGTCTCAACGATGATTCTATCTGGATTGTATTTTTCTAGATAGATTGATAGTGACAATGGATGAATCAGATATCTTCACAGATCAGATGTTGGGGTAATCCATAGCAGCAAATAACTTGCTTACCTTTAAGCTCCTGCAGGGCCGATTTCATTTGACCCACCAAGACACAGCAAAGGCAGCCGTTCACCATTTCTTGAACTCCAATGTTGGTTTCCTTGGCCAGTTGACTATCCACTGTCAAACAATGCCATATCTCCTGCCATTAGCCCTTGAACTAGGAAAACAGCCTACTATTTTTCTTTTGCGTATACCTGCAATGTCGCCAAATTCATTCTTCAAGAGACACGCTTTGTACTCTGTGGGCAATCGCTTCAACAGCGAGAGAATGGTCGTCGTCTTGCCTTCCGCCGTTAAACTGTTAATACAAAGTGGCTTTCGCGTGCTGATTCAGAAATGAGATTTGCATTTACCACTGCCGAGGAAACCAGTGAAAACAGTGACAGGAATGGGCATAGTAGTCTTTATTTTAATTTTTTCTGTGTTGTGTTGAGAAATAAGAAAAAAAACGTGTTATCAATTTTCTTTTTTTTTGTAAACTGAGAGATGGTTTGTGTAAATGTTAATGCACGCTGGGGGCTTTTTTTTTTGGGAATGGTTGTGTTTATCCGTGGCGCTTCTTATCCTCGAGGGTCAACTTGTTCAAAGTGGCAATATCTCCTTCTCTGAGCAACTCTTCTTCACGCGATCCTTCACCTTTCTGGCCTCGCAACGCTGGGAATTCTTTTAAGCGAATCGGTGCTCTGTCCTCCTCCTCCTCATCGTCTTCTTCGTCCCGGTCAAAGTAGCCATTGAGTTGACGTCGGATACGTGGGCTTGCAGGGGCCGAGAGCGGTTTGGGAATCTTCATGGGTATAGGCATCATGTCTTCCTCTTCCTCGTCGTCATCATCCAGGAACGAGTCAGGATACACGCGTCGAAGAGCCAGCTGCCGTGCCTTCATGTATTCCAGTCCCATTCGTTTCCAGTCTAGCAGATCCGACAAACGCTCGGTACGGTTGCGCTGGTTGATGCGTTGTCGACGGGTCTTGGAGCAGAACCGGAACATAAAATCGCACAACTGCTGGATGGACTCTTCGATGGATTTGAGACGGCGATCGACAATGTAGATGCCATAGTCTTCACAGTTTTCAATGTTTTCGTCCATAAAACAGCCAAAACCAGATAAGCTATGATAGAGTAGATACGTTGAGAGGCCCCACACAACAGATGCTGACAGAAAAAAAATGTGAAGAGTGATTATTTACTTTGTGGTGACAGAAGGGACACCCATCACGGTGCATTCAGCTGGCGTATAACCCCACGGCTCATAGTAAGACGGAAACACGCCCAAATGGCATCCACGCACGAACTCTTCATAGTCGAGTCCTAGCAACGGGTTGTTGGCGCTGAGGAACTCTGGATGGAAAATAATCTTGACGCGGTCCTCGGACTTGTTGTACAGCTGCAATCGCCGCAAATGGTCAATGATTGGATCATTGTTATCGTCGACCATGTTGTGCGTGACAATCGGAGGGAGCGTTGATCGCTTCAATGCAAACATGCGTCGTTTCAGCATGACCTTGTCTTCATCCGATAGCCAGTCTTCTGGGCTCAGTTCTTCACCTCTGAAAATAAACAGGTTTAAGTTTCTGTTTTCTACAAGCTTGTTTTGTTGGGGAGGAGGGTGTTGGGGGTCGTTGCTGCTACTTACCTAAGCGCCTTTTCGTATATTTTGCGACCAATCCGATCTTGTACATCGTCGACGGTCTCACGAAGTTGCTTTGTGACCGCTTGGCCCTTGAGTGCCTCGACATTGAAGGAATGGGTGGCAGCTGGCATAACCACAAATGCCACGACCGTAGTGTTGGACCGGGCGGCTTTAAGCCTGTGGTTCAGACCTGTTTTAATGGTCGATAAACAATAAATTTCAGGACATTATTACTCTTGTAAATAGACGAATAAGCCCGATATAGACAAGCCAAGTCCCTTCCCCACCTCGCCCCGAAAAGAGAGTGGATGTATACTCACGTGCAAGCGATTCCAGCAACATATCGACTCCCTTGTTCTGATATTCGTATCGGCCCGCTGTGAAGAAATAAACGGTGTTTTCGAGATCAAAATCATAGTGGCCATAGAAATGGCCACGCACAAAGTCATTGATCTTTTGTTTGTTCAATGCATGCTTGTTCTGGAACTCGTGCACGGCCGAGAACTTGACGACATTGAGACCGTTTGGTAGTACTCCGTCTAATGTACACCCAGAAACTCAGAACCGCATGAATAACGATCGTTGTTCCCCCGTCCCCAATCTTTTGGATTTGAAAAGGAGAAGCCAGAAACAGCTTTTTCTCACCTGGTTTGCGCTTCAGCAAATGCTCACTTTCATATGCAGTGATATGGCTGACAGTTGTAAACACGTCGGCACAGTGTGCAGCTGCGCGCTCAATGCAGTAGCGGTGGTAGATACCGCGATCACCTGCTTCCTTGTCTACGTCAAAGTTGCGCAAGTTGTTGTAGAAATCCGCCGACCCGGCACACAGGTATCGACCGAGCAGGGTCGCGTGAGTTGTAAAGATGGTGGTCACGTCGATGCGACGGCCTTTGCATAACGGAATGGCGACGCCGGCTAACCATTCATGGAAATGTGCAATAATGGTAGGGCTTCGAACCATGGCAGAAGACGAGGCATCCGGATCGGCGCTGTACTGGTATATATATATATATATATACACGCAATGATCAACAACAGTCAAGTCCCTTTTTTTGTCGATCCCACTCACTTCCATTCACTGTAGTACCTTGGGTGCGAGATCACCGAGGAACCAAGCAACAAGATAACCAAACAGGATCGAATTGTTGGTCTCGTGATCATGCGACGGACTCGGTATCCCTGCCGACTGCCAAAGATCGCCTTTCCATTCATCCAGCTTGGTAGTCACGCTGCTGGTATCAAACAGCAGCACGTACGGTGCACCTTCAACCAGCCATCGGCCAAACAGATAGTTCACGCCATGGGCAGACATGGATTCAAGCGTATCTCGGATGTTTCCGGCTGGTGGTTCGAGCGACTCGACTTCCATGGTCGAGGCTGTCGACAGGGGACCAATCAAGCAATAGCGATCGCCAAATTCGTGCACTGTAACAGGTACCTTGGTCTTGATCACAGTGTAGATGCCACCCACTAAAAGAAAAGGGAAAAGTGGGAGGAATTGAGGTGAAACTGGTCAGTAGTCGGCCCTTACACCTCTCCTGGCAGCAGCATGTATGTATCTTCTTTCTCATTCTTCTGATGGCTCTACTATATACCTTTATTGGCAACCTCCCAAGCGATTTCAAAGAGGAGAGGATTATAGACGTCCCGCTGCGGCATCCTTGTACGTTAGTTTTTTCCTTTTTGTTGGTGAGGAGGAGGATGAAAGATATGGGGAATCAGGAAGTGTTGTGGAGAGTAGAAGAAAGAAAGGAAAAGAGAGAGAGAAAGAGAGAAAAGAAGCAGATGGGAAAAGTAAGCGCTATATAAACAGCCTTGAGCGAGACGGAGCCTATAATGCGTTGATGCCTTCGTTGAGCCCAAGGAAACACATACCATACATGTCTCTCATCCAAACCCAACGCGCTTATCAAAAAGAGGGAATTGATCCTCCTACCACTACTACTGCTACTACCACTACTACTGCTACTACTACTACTACCACCACTACAATACCGCTTCCCTCTTTCCTTGGCCCGTGTAACGCTTCTCACACTATATATGAGTGCCCAATTTGTCCCCCGGTGATCGATTGTCGGAACGTGTTTTGTTTGGTGTGCTGGTGTGTGCGTGTGCACGAACCCGCCAGAACGCACATACCACCTTCTATTTTAACTCCTACTGCTGCTATCTTTACCTGATCGCTGTTACTTTCTATCTCCTTTGAGACGATCATGGAGAGGATGCTATCTGTTCACGAGGTTAAAGACAACGAAATATATACACACACACACACACACACAGAGAGAGAGAGAAAGAGAGAGAGAGAGAGAACGATGAAAGTCTTTTCGCAAAAGAGTAAAAGGTAAAGGAAGGAGACAGAAGACTTGATCTTGTATCTGTGTGTGTAAAAGAAGATCTACCCGGGCGGACTACATTTTTTGTCCCCAACAAAAAACGTCTTTTTGGAGCATATCCTTTTTCAAGCAAATTGAGTAACCACCGGTCTCCTCCCAAATAAATAGCATAGTACTACATTTCCCTTTCTTTGAATCTCACAATTAGCATCTCGAACCACTAAATAAAGTACGCTGGAAGCAAACATAGTAATCTGTCCACGTCGTCCAGTAACGCATCTCTACCACTACACTTTTATGATTCAAATTGAACCAGCAAAAGTAGGTTCCAGCGAGAGCTCAGCGAGAAAATCACAAGTGATCTCGGTTGGTCCCACTACACATGTCGGACCTTTCATCCTCTTGTTCAGGATTCATAAAAAGAAAAAGAAAGAAACTGTTTACAAGGAGAGATTCGTCACGGAATATCTGTTATTACTACCATGACAGCAGTTGACCGTGGTTGTCGACGATGAAAGACAAGTCAATCTTGTAAATGGACAAGTGCCCACGGTTAAGAGGTAAATACGAGACTTGCTACAGTTGCTGCAGCTAGTAAAGACTTATTGAATAGTATCATAAAGTACTTTGGAGAAAGAGACATGGCAGTTTTGCTTTTCGCATCTGCTACACCTGCTTTTTATGCGAGCGACAACACGGCCTTTTTCCTTTGGTTCCTGTTGTGGAGTTTCTTCCTCTTCTCCGACAGACGATCTTTATGCAACTGGCACTCATTGGGATCACGCTGGAAGGAAATGTTTTCCCAAAGAGTTGACGTTGCCGCCCTGCTGACACCTTGACGCGATTATTTACATAAAGCGCATGCCTTTTCTTATTTAAAACTTATTCTGTATACTTTCTATATACAATGTGTTAACATCTCACATTTAATTCATCATTTTGCGTTTAAAAATGTAAAGATGAACAAGCTCACAGTTATACTGCTCATTTGTGTTGATTTCATCATCACAATACCCAGCAGGCGTCTGACTTTGGCTCAAAAATATAACTGGAATCGATGAAAAGTGCGCTGAAAACGCACACGAAAGAATCGGATCATTGCAAGTAATCACCGTAAAGAAAGTTGTACAATCTAGTGAAATCCTATTAAATGTGTCTTACATAGGAACCGGCCAATCAAAAACACCGAGAATCTTGTTGAACCCTGTGAAAGCCCTCTGCAACTTAGAGATCTGGTCTAATCTTATACAATCTTGTGGTTCTGTTTGCTCTTTTTACAATGAAAAATGTTTGTTTTTATTTTTTTACTGTAAACGCTGTACTCGTTAAAGCGCTCTAGTCTGGTCTAAAAGGGAGGGTTTGTACCATGAAGAGCTGTGTCAATAAAGGTGGGGAAGCTATACCAATGTTTAGGTAGGTAAATTTGCTTTTCTCCGATAAACTTATATCTCCATCTACTATGCTGTTTAGAATTATGCTTGGATATATGTAATAATTAGCTGCGAGTTGTATTGCTGGTGACGCGTGAGTGCTATTCATTGGCAGTTTCAGAACGGCTGCATGACTATAGATGGCGATGGCTCCAACAATATATCGTTTACTTCTAGGTGTATGAGACCCATAGTGGAAGAACCATACGGACAGCCACCACCTACGTTCAGGTCCACGTCGCTAAAGATGTTTATAAAGCACAATATCATCTCTACGCCTAACAAAAAACAGAGCAGTAAGATCATATCTACCGTCAGCCTACCGTACCGTATTTAAATCTTCTTTGTTTTCACCCAAGGACCTTTGAATTTGTGAGCAAAATACAAAACTGCTTCACCAAAATCAAAAATTCGACACGAATACCGAGTTTGAGAAAAAAAGCATGCTTCTTGTTATAAGGTAGCAGCTCTTCCATGTATCACCAAGCCACGTATTTACTGCCCTTTTTCAAAATCGCCGTGAAGAAGATATTGCGAAAATATTCCAAAAGCTCACTTATGCTGAAGCAAAGCAATAGCTACAACAAGAGATAATAGACTGGTCGACACCCAGTAATTTTCGAACCGACATCATATTCTTACCGTCATTACGTAACTGATTCAAAAAGCGCTTTTCCGTATTATATCTTCAAAACCAAAAATACCGAGCAAACTACCTTGATAAAAACATCTTTATGACTACGACTACTTAGTACGTGAAAACCCCTCATTTTTTTTGTATAACCGTTCGTTGCCCCTACCGTTATGGCAAGATAATAACTTACCAAGCCGAGGAACATGTACATATGCATAATATACTTTCATCTTGTTTCTTTAACATTCGAAAACAATAGTAATATTGACTTGTTTCTTAGCGTAACTCATAGAGTATAATAAAATAAGAAGGAAAGACTACATACAAGCCTTCTATATATATTGTCAATTTTACAGTGGTGTTTATTATAGTATCGACTCCACATGTTGAATTGAACAGAAGTTAGCGTAGTAGTAAACGTAAATTACTATGTTAACGTAGCTTACCTTAATCAGATGATACTATTTACGTAATAATCATCTATCGCCAACACTATATTATTATTTGATCTTCTCGGGCCTTCAAGAGCAAAACAATCAGAGAAAAGAAAAATAGCTTTCAATGTGGTTAAAAGTATACGTATAGATGTATCAAAAAGCAAAGATAGATTTCTTGGTTTATCAGAATGTGAGCTCTAGGCTAGCCCAAATTAAGTAGAGCTGATATATCAGGACGATTATTTTATCCATACGTTGGTGAGATTTGGACCCCTTTGCTGTAATATTTTATGCAGGCCAAAGAAATAGCCTAGATATTTTAAAGCTGTATTACGTACACGCACACATGCGACGATAATCGATTGTAGGCGAAAACTACAAAAGTACAAAGAAAAAAGAGATCTCTTTTTCCTTATTTTTATGGAACCACCCGATATACTCTTGAAACAAGTTTCGATGAATCTAACATCCGGAAAATCTACTGCTCTCTAATGCAGTAAGCAAAAGGAACTTACTCGTTATTTCTGTATATATAGCACAAAAGTAACAGTAATACCCATGATAGATCTGATAAAAAGCATACATGGGTTGTAAACATAGCATATTTACATAATATCATATGTTTTGAGAGTTAGGTTTGGCTGATAAATGCTTGGCATATATATCATGGTAGCAAGAAGATATAGAAAAGGGTTTCCAGGTTTCACATCTTTCCATCCCACATCATTTCCTTTCTTCTTTTTTCTTTTCTTTTTGAGTGTATGTGTGTGTAGGCGCGTTTTCTTCTTTACATTTTATCCTCTTTAATTATATATCTTCGCCACGGTAGCTTGCAATTGCTGCTGCTGCCAACATTTACTATCCAACTACGCGTATATAATTATAAAACCTGTTCGAACCTTGCCATGCCAAAGTGGTCTCACCAACTGATATCGATTCGACCGTCAGTAGACGAAGATCCACGACTTTATTCTGATCGGAAGCGATCTATTATCCTGCTATGTATCGGATTGACCGTTAGCACGTCCAGCATTACAAGCACAATTTATTTTCCCGGTAAAGAAACGAATCAATTCATGTCATGACAACAGTAGCAGTTGTGGTAGATACGTGTTTATAATTAAATAGCTGACACGCATGTGTGATTTCCAGGTATTCCTTACATTGCATCCGAGCTTAATGCAGCATCAATGCCCATTACGTTGACGACAGCCTTGTATATCCTAGTGACTGGCATCGCGCCTGTATTCTGGGCATCCATTTCCGATTATTATCACATCCGACGTAGTCTCATAATACTTTCACTTGTCATATTTTCGGTCTCTTCAATGATTTCGGCCATCGTTAATAGCATATGGGCATTGATCGTCTTGCGATGTTTCCAAGGCGTTGGAGCATCTTGTGCGCTTTCGATCGGTCCGGGTGTAATTGCTGACTGTTACCCTGTCGAAAAGCGTGGCGCTGCTTTTGCGAAATTCTATTATGGCGTATTTGTCGGTCCACTCATAGGTAGATAAAAAAAAGTTTTGGTTTTCAAGGGCAAAAATGGAAGGTGGGAGTGCTTTGTGTGTGTGGGTGTGTGCGTGCGCATACAAAAGAAAAGCTAATGCTTGACATCTTTTAAAAAAAAACCAATCCAGGACCGGTTGTGGGAGGCGGTTTAATCATGACAAATCAAACGTGGAGGGCCACCTTTTGGTTTCTGCTCGCTTATGGTATTGTTGTGTTGGCCCTAGTATTTTTTGCCTTACCAGAAACGTATCGCGATAATGCTCGATTTGATATCGACCAGTTTCATGAAAACGTTGGGCATGAAGGAGAAAAGCAAGGACCTGTGAAGCAGCAACAACATCAAGAAGATCGCGAAGAGAAACAAGAGGAAACTACCGCATTGGGTGAAGAAGACGCTATGAGTTCTTCCTCTTTGGATCCAGGAACGACCGTGATCGACATTGAAGGTGTAAATAGTGGTGTCTCCACCAAATCCAAGCTTGAAGTCATCGCCAAGTCGAAACGAATGAACCCTATTGAACCATTCCTTATGCTTCGACATCCATTCGTGTTTTTGGCATCGATGATTTGTGGCATATCATTTGGCGCAATGTATGGCGTTGAAACCATTATGCCAACACTTTATCAGACACATTACGGCTTTGTCGCTTGGCAGACAGGTATTAATGCAAGAATAGAAAGAAAACTTGATAAAATGACATTATTTATAATTATCAACTTTTTTGCTTTTTAGGACTCACATTTATCGGTGCTGGCATCGGTAATACGCTGGGTACAATTGTCAATGGTGTTCTAGCAGACCAACTCTTATTACGCTCGAGGAAAAAACGCAACGGTATTCCCATGGTAGAAGATCGTCTTTCACACAATCTATGGCCAAGCGGTATAATTTTTATCCCACTCGGCTTGCTCTTGTTTGGCTGGCCCATTGACTACAATCTCAGCGTGTGGGCACCTATCATGGGCTTCAGCATCCAGAATTTTGGTATGGTGCAACTGATGACCTTATCAAGTGCTTATTTGGTGGATGCCATGCCAGGTCAAGGTGCTTCAGCTGCCGCCAGTGGAAATTTTGTCAGAAATGCGGGCGCTTGTTTGCTCACCATTATGGCGAACCCAATGACGGATGCCATTGGACCGGGTTGGACAAGTGTAATGCTCTCTGGAGTAACTTGGCTCTCGGTGATATTTATCCTGATTCTAAAATTATATGGCGAGCAGTTACGTCGATGGTCTGGATACTAAACGGGGAAATGATTTAATCATATGCATAGTGAGATATAGATTATATTGGGGATATCGAATCTACTACACCGAAAGAGTCGTTTTATTTTATCAATAAGTTCCTTAATTGCGCTTTATCTTCGATCTTTCCACTTGTTGTTCCTATCATATTATTGCGTTCTACCATTATTAAAAAACCCTGCACGTTATGAAAAAGCCTTCCATTATATTATATAAAGAAGCTAGTACAACTATGACTACCTATGGAAACTCTCTTAAGACGACGTCTGCCCGGCAATAAGTGGGTTGTTATGGAGATCAGAAAACGTGCTGTCGCCAGCAGGATTCCCGCTGGTCCAACAAATAAGGTAATCAGCGTCTGCGACCAATCAACAGCCACCACCTCTGATTTCGGGAGTGAAATGTTATACGAAACGACGAAACACGCGACGAGTTGACAATCCCTTTCTCCATAACCTTTCTTTTACTTGATATATCTAATATAATGGTACGAACAATCCGCTTACGATACTTTGCAACTGCAGCAATCTAAACTTGACGAAGGATACTCATCTACTCTCTATCTCTTACATTATGCGATGGACAATTGATCTATAGGCTGATTCCTCCTCATCGTCGACACCCAAAGGCACTGTCAGGTAAAAAAAAAATAGAGGACAGTGCTTTCTCTTAACACCCTCGCCTTTCGTCCATTGTTTATTTCTCCTACGTTAGGGAAACAAAAGAGAAAAAATGGCCTTGGGCATGGAGGAGAATTGAACAGGAAAAATAGGAGGAAGGACAACAAGGCTTTCTTGGGGAAAATTACTTTATATTGTACTCATCCTGGTTATTTTGATTCTTCTTAATATGGTGTGTGTAGGAGACGCGTTACTGGACGATCAAACACTAATGCTGCACGAGGACCTATGCCTGGTGGCAGCACTTCCAACATGATGCGCATCTATTCGGATGATTCCCCCGGTCTTCGAGTGTAAGTAACAATCTCCCCCCCCCCACAAAGCAACATTTAGAAAATGAGGCAGAAAGAGATAATTGCTGTTTTGCATTTGGCGGTGCGGCGTGCGTGTGTATGTGGATGCATATATTCTGGAGTAATACTGACATAGTGTTTACTGTTTTGAATTATAGTGATCCTGTGGTTGTACTTGTTCTGTCGCTGACTTTCATTGCCTCGGTGTTTGGTCTGCATATCGTGGGCAAGTTCTTGCGTGCTTAGACGGATTATCTTTACCACTCCAAAGAACTCTTTTTATTGCATTTGTTGGGGTCATTATAATAAAAAAGGATGCGGGAAAGGAACAAAAACAAAAAAAAAAGAAGTATGCGCAGTATACTGGCATGAATGGTCCTTTTCCATAAATGTTCGATCCAGTTTTATCAACCATTAGATTGCTGATGTTACAATAAAACGCAGCACAAGTTCGGCGCTAGCTACCTGTCAAGCGCATGAAGCACATTATCGGTATCAGCCATCTGTGACTTGAGGATATAATTGGTGCATGAAAGTATACTCAACCTGCAGATGAGCTTTATGTTGCCTTCATGTCGGCACACGAGTAGAGCTAGACACGGTGGGCATTTGAAAGAGTTGAAGCGCAGATTCTACGAAAGTACTCGTCCGTTCCGGTGGCTCAAGGATTTGGTCAGCACCGTAACATCTCAAAGCACGAAAAATCGATGAGGAAGCAGCTGGAGGGGCCATGCAGGAAAAGCCGTAAGCCTTGTAGAAACAGCAAATAAAAAACAGAACTAAGCTTGACTCATGAACACTATTGCCTTAAATAATCTGAATATGATTCTTCTTTTCAATAAATATAAGTTCTTTAAGCTTTTGTTGTTGATATAAAACGTTTCAAGTCAGAAATAAGCTCTTATTAACTGCAAATATTCCATATACTGTACCACTAATACTGTGGATCGAGAGCTATTATATAATTTCCGTTCAAGCTCTTCATCAATTTCATAGCTATTGTGAGGTTCAATGTCTAGCTGTTACTCATTTCTAAATCATTGTCAATGAGTCCACTTTCAGAACAATGTGACCACTAATAAAACAAGGGCTGTAAAAGTCATACGAAAAGCTGCGATGAAATAGTGTTCTTTACTTTCTTACTTTTTTAAGACCTTTGCGGTAGTCAAGAGTTGATAAGTTACGATTTTCTTTACCTCTATAATTCAAGGACGAGCTTGTCATCTTCGCACCTTCGGTCTTACGACCCTCCGTTTCGCTTCGTGTCATGCATATGGGGCTTTGGCTCACCGGCTTATTAGTTAAGCATGCGACGGGCTATTATCAAAGGAAATAAAACACTATTATGGAGGCCTTTCAAAGAGTATTCTTTTTAGACTGATCCCTCCAAGCATGGATCGTTCACGGTCAATGTGTGCTGGCCAAGCCGGAGCATCTACACGTACCTATCCATCGCAAGCTTTTCATCTTATTTTCTATTACGACGATTTGAATTCTACGGCTGTTACTTGGAGAACACGGATTACAAAGCATGGAAAGTACCGACATCGTTCGAGAGCTGCTTATTAGATAGCTGTCGATGACAAGAAAAAAATGGAGCGCATAACGCAAACATTTACTTGCTACTGCGATACGTATCAGCGAATTGACGCACGTCTGCACAAGGCAGTAAAAGACCTTTGCTAAAAATGCATCGTCGCCATGCGAAACATCTTTGCTCAGTCTGTGATAGAAGAGGAAGTAAATAAGATGCAAGAACGACTTGTCGATGTATAACATATTAAGGTCACGGTTGCTAATTGTAAAGCATCTTAACACAGCACAAAGAAAATACGTACAATAAGGATTTGCGTGGAGACGCATTTGAAGAATTACTACAGGACAGCAACTCAAAAACGCGAAACAAAAAAAGCACTGAGAATAATACCGGAACGCGAGCAAGACATCCAAATTGGTTTCAAGCGAAGGTTATCGAACCGTTGCCGTTGCAAAAGAAAGCTCGAATGTTGTGTGAGGCATTGTGTGTTTGCATGACCATGTTGTTCAATCCATCGACATACTGTATGTATTTACTGATGGATTTATGCTCTCCATGTAGCAACAAAGGCAAAAAGTTAAGACAATCGATTATACTAAACTAGCGAAGCGATCTTCCTTGAAAAGTTATCAACAATCCACAAAAATCTAAAGCAGCATTACGATTACTTCGACACCTTGCCCGACGAACCATTGCTGCGAAGGCTCGACAAAGCACGGCGTTTCTCTGACGAATGGTGACCGGAACCATGCGAACGAACCAACTTTTTCCTTTCGATTATTTTCGCGAACAGAATTACAGGAACACAGAAGGTGAAAAAAAATAAAAAAAAGTAAAAAACATGAAAAATGAGTACCAAAGTGTGATAGATCGTGTTACTGTCGCTATAAAACAAAACATCTACGCGTTGTTCAGCTTGGAGCTGTGAATGAGGGGGTAATTTTACCTATTTTAGTTTTTGTTCGCTCAAAAAAGGCAAGCGAACCCTGGAACCTGTAGGGTGTCCCTTCAGAATCTCATGGCGATTTTTAACATTGAGTGTGGGATGGCGGATACAAAGTACATTACTGCAAATCGAGTGGTTTGATAGACAGTGTTGATATGAAGCTAGCGGATATTTCCGAGATCGTACTTCAACGTCGACTACCGAAGCCATAAAAAATATGACACGAACTAGTAATTGGAATGAGTGCTGAGCAAATACGATACGCCGCACTCTATGCCTGTGCCAGTCTTCAAATATACCATCATGCAAATAATGCCACTCTACGCCGTCAAAACTAGAGCAGACCCCCAACTGAAGCTAGTACATCGCGTATCGTCAAAACACAACAAGGCATTGTATAGCTGATAAGTGTACTTACCAACATCGTTTAGGAATGCACATTTCTTATCACCCTGGAGCTATGATTAGAGCTGCGGCTTATCGGAAAATCAGTCATCAGCAGGAGTATGTATATAAGTGGAATGAAGCTAAAGAAAAATCAAGCAATCATCACAATCAGGGATGTGATAGTTCCTGATGCGCTGGATGTAGAAGGAAAACTACCGCAGGACCAGGATGCTGTTCCTTTCCAGACTGTAGCTCGTATATGTTATTTAAAAACACATAAGCCTGTTGAGATTCGTGTCAGTCGAGAAGTAAAAGATGACGAGCACACAACATCCAAAACTATAGAAAATAAGAATGCTCAGGATGCCATTACTGAAAGAGTGCTAAAAAACGTACAATCGAACTAGAGGACTATACTGGGAAGCCAAGCAGCGATGATAGTGATGCTGACTCGGTTGCTGATGACGACGACGATAATGAAAGTATCATGCATGGAGCCGACAGCGTACAACAAAATGAAAATGTCCTTACAGTATCTGAAGCACATCAAGAGGTCGTGTGTTCGGTGAACAAAAGCTGCAACCCTTCCGCAGCATCCACGAAACGATCCAGAATACATGGCTACAAGTGTTTTAAAGGATGCATTCCATCTCACGGACCCAGTAAAAATATCGTGCAGACATGGTCTAGCAAATGACTTTTCAAGACAATTTCGTGACGCATTCTTTGTTGTTGATGAAGACAAAGCGTAAGCATATCATACAATGAATAAATATCATAGCTTTGACGCCATCATTCTATAAAGTTACAATGTTTTTTTAAATGTATCATAACCCCTTCCATTGTACTGTATCCTGATAACAAGCAGCTTTTTGACACATACAGTACTGTATGGGCCAATGAAATGTGCTAGTCAACGATATCACCATTTTCTACGAAACACTTGAATACCTCAGATGGTATGTACTACAATACATGAAAGAATACGAAAACATATTAAAACACAAAGAACAGTTACAGAAACATACTGCAGCCCTTGGAGACGGCGGATAGAAAGCAACACATACCAGGTACCCAAACGCCTTCTCCGCTAAAAGCTCCTGCTCGCTTGCGAATGACTTCCAACGTCTACCACCAGCATCAGCAAAACATCCTAGCAACAACCATATCATCAGCTTCAACAGCCACGTTTGATTTTGCCAGTATTATCTGACCAACAGCAGCAGCAAACATTCATCGATACAGATATATCACAGATGCAGGAGCCTGAAACAGAACCGACACCATCAGAGCACCACCGAGAAGCATCCCTAATGATCTTCCGGCAAGGCGTGCCAAATGGCGTTGTAAAACATGCACATCATCTAAATGTGGGGGCAAACCCTATTATGCTATCATAGTTCTATAGTTGAAAGGCTACCTCTCTGCATATACATGCGAAATTGGGTGTCGTCAACGGGAGATAAAAAAGGAGGTGCGCGCGGCTAGCTGTGGGATACAGCACAGTCCGTTATACACACCCTTTCTTCCAGCAAAGCTCATTTTACCATACATAACGCACGAAGCGAAAACATGATTCCTTAATTTGAAAAGACCTTGCTTTTTATTGAAATGACCGGATTCATAGATGCCACTTCCATAACAACTCTTGAAAGCATAAAGAAGCTGTATGGAGCTTTGCGTATGATACGAATCGATAATATATACTATTATCATACATGGAATAACTATAGTGAAAAGCCCGACACATTACATCCGATCACATAAGTTATGGAGCATCAATGTATGATGTTTCGCCACCAGGGGGAAGGGGATGGCCGGAGAAGCTTCTTACAGTCTTATACGTCTTGCTAGAAACTGCACCGGCGTACACTGCTTACTATGCGGAAGCGGGGAATCAAGGGGCATCTCCCTTGCTTATTCATGTGAACGGTCGAGATAGAACACTCTTGAGAGCAAGGAACTAGTAGGAGCTATTACAGTTATCTTTAACTCAGCTGAGGAGCACTCGTTGTGCAGGACACTTCAGCAGGTTCTAAATGATTTACAACAAGTGATTATATACTCGCATTTTTTATAGTATCACATGAGTTTCCTTTGGATTAGCGTGAAAAAATGTAATTTTGGACACCTATGTAGCGGAAACCATGTTATGCACACACCGCGATATCAAGAGCGCTAACAATGTAAAATATAAGCACTTTCCGGCGGTTCCTGAAAAATTCTTTCATGCATAGCTATGCGTGATTCTCCTGAGCGAAAATGCTTCTTTAAAGCGCCTATCAATTGGAAAACACGGCATTACTCAATTCCGCGAAAGGCGTATCCAGACGCCCGCCTAGAATCAGGAGATATATGTAATATATACATGGAGAAGAAAGTTAATTTCCTGTACGAGCATGTAGAAATTGGAGACTCGACAGAAAGCGAGAAAATATATATATATATATATATATAAAGGTGGCCGGTAACTACAACATTCATCTACTATCTTCTAGCCACATTACTTCTCTTTTGTAACCATGCAAATCAAGTTTTCCTCTCTGTTTCTGACGGTGGTCCTGGCTTTGCACCTGTGTTTCCTGTTCTCGGCCTCTGTCCAAGCCCATCCCACTGGTTCGAAGGATCCATCCGGTGTCACTGCCGAAGGCGCTGAAAAAATAAAGCAAGATGTTGCTGCCGCTGCTGCTTCTGAACATGGCACTACTGCTGGCAGTACTTCTGGAGGAACAGAAACAGAAAGACGCCAATTTGCAACTTACTTGCGTGCTCTCGATACCGCCATTCAGCGCTCCCGGGCTGAATCAAAGGGCCCGTCCGGCAGTGTCCCCTTCATGAACACGGTTGCTCTCCAGATGGTTAAATTGACGTCAAGTCCCGAATATGAGCAGCAATCCCAACAGCCAGCGGAAGGTGAGCAGCAACCCGCCCCGAGTCGAGACGAATTGATTGCAATCGCTGTGGATGTTGTCAACGGAGCTGCCAACGGATTTTTTGAAAATACTGGAATCACCGGACTTCTCAAGATTGCATTGTTAACATTGCTTGAAACCGTCCTCTCGCTCGTCGCTCTGTTGATGTAAAAACTTTCTCTCTCCCAATATATAACTTATCCCTAATTTAGTTTCAAATGACTCTTCTTTGAGCCTAGTATCTAAGATACTTCTGATAATATCTATTTATTAAATCCTTCAGTTTTACGATTTATAGCTCACAAAAAAGGAATCCTCCTTTCTTTCCCTCACATTCTTCTTTTATATTACACACAATTTCACACAGTGCACAGTAATCTTCTGTTTTTTTGGGCATAGATATTGTTAGACGCGCCAGCTCACTCTTCTAAACCTGACATTCTGACATTCTGACGTGGCCTTGAGAATATAGGCAAAATGTGTTTTCCAAAGAGACTTTTGCTGCTGAGATCATAACAATCATTGTGTGCAACAAAGGAACAAGACCTGCACTGTATACTGCTCTTCTCGCATCTCGCATTTCAGATCTCACTTCCAATCTTCACTTCGTTTAACAAACATGTCGACTTCAAATTGCCCTTCATGCGGCTTGCCCGGCCATCAACGCATTTCGCATCGCAACTGTCTTCATAATCACGTTCGGTTGCAAATGCGTCAGCAAAAATGAACATGAAGCTGAAATCGAAACCGGAGAACGCGGTCCTGTGTGTTCAAGCTGTGGGCAAGAGGGTCATCGTCGCTCCACCAACCGATTGTGCCCAAACAATCCTGCAAACCAGGCTGCTCAAAACGTTAGTGACCATATCTATACTAGCTATACTTGCTATTCGTTGATATATAGTTATCGGCTGTCAGAAGCTTAAGCATTCTGTATATCAATAAATGATCCTCTACTCTATATAGATGCATAATATCGCCCGTGCTGTTGCAGCTGTTATTCCTCCCCGGCACTATTTTGGTCGCATGGACAGGGAATGCTCTAATTGCCATGCATGTCTTGAATCCAAGAGCGCATCTCAAACTCTTCCCAAGTACGACCTGCATTTAACCTATGCTGTGACCAAGAAAGTGTCCGATTGCCACCCCTCCTGAAATTTCCCGTTTGTTGCGTGGCATGGATGAGGCCTTCACCGAATTCCGCACAAACATCCGCGCATAACAACAACTCCCTCAATTTTACCTCGCTTGGTGTCCACGTTGATCAGACGGTAGCCAACTCCATCGGTGGTGCGTTCAACTTCCGCATCCACGGTAGTGTCCACCATATAATAGGGTCTATTTTGCCTGCTGACAACACAGTAAGGCCCGCTTTCGCCCAAATTTACGTTCACGATCCGTCGACCGAGTTGCAAACCCGACAATCCGTCACAAACGCTACATTGATCAATGAAACATTGCAGACCTTGCAGGATATGATGCACCGCATCAGCCCATTCGCAACATCATTCCGCAACATGGCCGAAATTGCTCGCAATGAAGGCATGGCGGATGTGAGAATGGTTATCAGGGCTGAAGGGGTACCCGATGCTCGCCGCTACAACCGTCCAACTGCTGGCGAAATCGGCATCTTGATCGTCGATGATAATGGTACAGATGTTGTCAATCGCGATATCGTTCTAAGAACGAGATCCAATCAGCTACAAAACATCAGTGAAATGCATCGCTTTTATGATGCTATGCATTATGTTCTCCTTTTCCCCCAAGGTACACTTACAGAAAATGATTTTGTTTTGAGTTCCATCATGAGTTATTTCCATTACATATTAAGTCTTCGTATTAGGAGATGAAGGCTGGACAATTGAGGCTCGCACTGACGCCGGCAGCAAAATCACTGTCATGGATTGGTACAAGTTCCGGCTCATGAAACGCGGCAATGACAGTGATGCAAACAGACATTATCTTCATCGTTTCGGCAACCTGTATCAGCAATATATCACTGATGTTTATGCAAAAATGGAGTCCAATCGTTTGAGCTTCATCCGCCGCAACCAAGACCGTTTACGTTCGGACCTGTACCGCAATGTGGTAGACGCTGTGCATCTTGGAGACAATGATATGACCAGTGTTGGACGGCGCGTTATTCTGCCATCCTCCATTCATTGGTTCCCCTCGGCATATGCAGCAGCTGTACCAAGACGCAAAGAGTATTGTTCGTCGTTTCGGCAAACCGGACGTATTCGTCACATTTACTTGCAATCCTCGCTGGCCCGAGATTTAAGAAAATCTTCTTCCTGCTCAATCAGGATCTGATCGTCCTGATCTATCAGCACGAGTTTTCAGATTGAAACTTAAGCAGCTTATGAACGACCTTACCAAGGATAAGATTTTGGGCACTGTTGTCGGACATGTCCATACAGTAGAGTTTCAAAAGCGTGGTCTCCCACATGCCCATATACTACTGATTCTTGCTGGAGAAGATAAGCCTACAAGTCCAGCCCACTGTGATGCATCCTATATTCTTCTACTTTGCATTCTTTTACTATTAAGCGGTAGTACTCACAGTAAAGTATTTGATAATAGGCCCTTCCTGTGATATTAGATGCGCCGCGTTCGCAGATCGTACAGCAATGCTTAAATCGCTCATCGATTTGGCCCAGCGTCATCATCCACCACCTTGAAACCAACATGCCCGTCCAACAAGCTGCCAACACCAATGATGCAAATGAGCTTCGCGAGTTTGCGCAATATTTACTTCGCATTGGTGATGGTGCTGAGCTGTTGGTGCCAAACACCGATGACAGAGTCCGGCTACCAGATCGGATGCTCATGCCACATTACAACACGTACGAGCTCATAGAAGCCATTTACGGCGACCTCAACGCACCACACGTAGATTGTGAATTCCTCATCAGTCGCTCTATCTTGACTCCAAAAAATGTCGACGTTACAGCAATCAACGAATTGATACTCGACCATTTCCCAGGCACTGTACACGAATTCCAGAGCGCTGATACAGTGGATGATCCAGAAGCTCAAATCACATACCCACCAGAGCTTCTCATGCAATGAATCTATCCGACCTCCCACCACACTCGCTAAAACTCATAGTCGGTTGCCCAGTCATGCTTTTGCGGAATTTGCACACCCAAAGTGGTCTCTGCAATGGGACACGGCTGATTGTACGCTCTTTCCAACGATATGTACTAGAAGCTGAAATAGCCACTGGACTTCATGCCGGCAACATCGTCATAATCCCTCGCATAACACTTACACCTTCACAAACACGGTATCCCATTCAATTTAAAAGCACGCAATTCCCTGTTTTCGCCTGGCATTTGCAATGACCATCAATAAGGCACAGGGTCATACCCCCTTGCAACGCATTTCCGTTTAATGACACAGAGCGAAGAGGAAGGGGCTCATTCATCCGAGCGAAGCGTGGAAGGACCGCTAGAAAGCATGTAAAATTCTTTTTTAAAATGCACAGAATCTGCTGGCAATCTATTCAGTATTTGAAAACTAGAATATATCAAACATTTAGTAGAATTGATGTTAATAAAGTCTTTATGCGCACGCAGTTTAAGTCATTTATTATATGATTGAGGTGGTGGTGGTGGTGGGAAAGTATCTGTATACATTAAATGGGCTAATCGCTTATGTATTTCGTTTCGCAGCAGCAAAAGTGGCTTCAGAGACTTGGTTGACCTCCTTCCCGCCCGTCGGAGCATGACTCAACAAATTTCTCAAACTGACGTATTTACTCCTTTGAATTTTTTTTTGTAACTCTTCTCTTAAAAGAACGACAATGTCTGACGATAAAGAGAACAAGCCCGTCGTCGATCAAGTCGAGGAAGAAGAAGTAAATTTTTTTAACGTTGCCCATCCTTGAATACTAGACGTAAATGGTAGTGCTTTACAGATCAATGCTAATCTGTTTTATCATTATTATTTTGAAACAGCCCGATTTCTCCAAGCTTAAGAAAAAGAAAAAGTCAAAGAAGAAAGTCGACTTTGACGATACCGCTTTAGCTGACGAACCTAAAGAATCCGCAGAAGTTCAGGATGCTCGTAAGCATTTCTTACATTGTTTTTCTTATGCAGTTAGAGCAGTTAGAATAAGAAAGGATTCTGATGGATTGAGTTCTGTTTGAAAAAAAATAAACTTAGCCCAAGAAGACAATGCCGACGACGCTGATCCAGATGCCATGTTTGCCGAATTAAAAAAGAAGAAAAAGAAGAAATCCAAGCCTGTCGAGGTACTTGAAGAGATATTCTGGCTCTAATGTGGAAAAGGCGGTCGCTCACAATAGACGTGTTATATCTAACTATTTCTTATAGGATGCCGGTGAAGGCGATAGCACACCAGCAGAAGGCAATGATGAAGACATGGACTTTGGTGCAATGAAGAAGAAGAAAAAGAAGAAGAAAAACATGGCAGAATTCGAAGCTGAATTGGCAGAGCAAGAAGGCGAGTCGGGTGAACAAGAAGGCGACAAGCCTACAAAAAAGGATAATAGCGATGAAACATGGTTAAAGAGCGACCGCGACTACACATACGACGAGTTACTCGGCCGTATATTCAAGATCTTGAGACAAAACAACCCTGAACTTGCTGGCGAGAAGAAGCGTTACACCATTGTTCCTCCTTCTATCCATCGTGAAGGCAACAAAAAGACTATTTTTGCCAACGTGGCTGATATCTGCAAACGGTATGTGTGTGGTTGTTATGTGTCCGTGGTTTTGGGGGGGGGGCCTGGGCATTGAGCGTTTTACTCATACTATAAATGGTCGGATGGACTATAGACTTCATCGACAACCGGAGCACGTTATTCAGTTCTTGTTCGCCGAATTGGGTACCAACGGTTCCGTTGACGGTGCGCAACGTCTTGTCATCAAGGGTCGATGGCAACAAAAGCAAATCGAAAACGTGCTGCGACGATATATCGGTAAGCTTTCATTTCATTCTCTCGTAGTTTTGGCTATCAGAGACAGGCGTGGGAGGGAAACGGATCAACTAATACATTTTATTGCGAATCACAGTGGAATACGTTACTTGCAAAACTTGTAAATCCCCTGATACAATTTTGAGCAAGGACAACCGATTGTACTTTGTGCAGTGCGAGTCTTGCGGTTCTACACGATCCGTCTCTGCTATCAAGACTGGTTTCAAGGCTCAAACCAAGGAAGATAGACGTGCTCTTCGGGCGTAAAGAAAACAGCTCCAGCAGCATCGACAACTACTACTACTGCTACTTGAAAAAAAATAAAAAACAAAAAAGTATTTTTAAATATTGTGATCCCCTCCTTAACAAAAAGCAACATCTTTACTATTGCGCACACTTGTCTTTGTGGAATACATTCCTCTTTTTTTTTTTACTATGTGTAATTTTTTTGATTTCTGTCTGATTGTTGTTGGAGGAGTTGATTGTCACCGAGATATACTTGTTTTCAAAGGTACATGATCGGAATGGAGAGGATGAGCACGTATGGTCCCCGTTAAACGCGAAACCTTGTTGGCGATAAACCCACGCACGGTCCAGCCGTGGATGGGACGAACATATCTCAACAACTGCACAGCCAAATGATTTTTGGTGAACTTGGCTGGACTCGACGATGCTACGAATACATCATGATTAAGGCTTTACTCTATCATCCAGTACAGTATACACATTGAAAATCGTAAAAGTACAAGTGCCGTTCAACATATACAATTTCACCCACAATGCGGGAAAAAGCACAACTACGTACTGCTGCCACATAAACAAACCGTGGCAATATCAACACACAAGATGATGATGACATTGCTTTTGTCATTTCTTCATTTTCGACGTACGGACTTTCTTCTGAAAAGCGATCGCGTAGGATATGGCAAAGGGCAATGTCGTTGTATTGCGACAGATATGTTGCTGATATGTTGTAGTGTGGTTGAAATTGGCTGGTCATCCATGCGCTGACTTTTCTAGTTAGTCAAAAGTTTCAAATGGTTAGCAGCTTGTCAATAATAAGTCGCTTTTCCCTTTCTCAAACATTTGCCGTAGTCGAATAGAACACAGAGCGTCGAGTGTCGAACACTGTTTGTTGGAGTGTGTTAATGCGACCTTGAGTCATTTTTTGTTTACAGTGTATTCCTCATGATAGCAGTTGATGCAGGAGTTTCGGTGAGTGGATCGAGAAAGGTGCCGTGAATTATAATAGCGATAGTCGTTGAAGAAAGCGATACATTGGGTGTACAGTACATATTCAACTTTACAGTATAATATAAGAAAGCAGATAAAAGGAAGAGACAAAGTTATCAGAAGACCGCCCGTATTTATAGAAATATGTGTACTCGATATAATCTGTCACTGAACCACAAGAGGGGAAAAAGACCTCATTTATTAGCATTCTATAGCAAGCTCATTAATGAAGGGCGTCTTGGACCCGCTACTTTATGTATGTCCTTGAACACATGTACCAACTTGGCCGAGCGGAACTTCTTTATGCTGTGAAGATTATTATAGACTTGGCATTACCAATTTCACCGACGGAAGCAGAACACTGCCGATAATAATGCTTTTTTTTGTTTGGGGGGGGGGAAAGTATGGTGTTACCAATTATGCGGATTTTCTCATCTCTTTTGCTGCTAGTTAGTCCATCTCACGACTCTCTTTAATGGTTCTTGACCGAAAGAAGCAATACAAGATGAGCCTACTACTATTGAGAGAGAGAGAGAGAAGGACCTTTATGGCTTTTAGTTACATCTTTATTCTATCGTTGAGTGTGCGGTTATCATTCTACATACACTTTCTTTGCTGCCGGCTGTTTCAGAGTAAAAAAAATTCACACTCCTCCTTGGAAACTGACTTTCTCGTCTCTTTCTTCTTTATACCTTTTTTTTTTCACAACCATTCAATAATTAATACAGTAATGACAGACCCTTCTTCAATCAAACCCAAACAATGGCCAATATATCGTCCCATTGCGCCTTCCATTCCTTCAGCGATACCACAACCACCACTGTTTAAATCCAGTTGGGACGACTACGATAAACGTAAACGGGGCGATTCAAACGGTCCTGACGTGCGCAGTAAGCTTTTTGTTCTCTTTCCCCAATTGGGCTGTTAATCATATTTGGGAGATTCTAAAAGAACTGCGAATTTTGGTTTTGTTAGTGCGTACGGGATCCGTTGAAAGCGATGGTGATAGCATAAACAGTAAGTGCAGCGTCGATAAGCTTGTACTTGTAGAAAGAAAACGGAACCTCCTCACACTCTATGAATATGTAAATAGGCAGATTAGGCGAGAGCTCTCACGTAAGGATAAAGTGCTATTAGCTGTATAAAATCTAGTGAAGAGAGAGTGGGAGGGATTACAAATACAAGACTATGTTCGGCCTGACGACAAACCGATGAGTTAAAAGGAAAACCAATGGATGTATCTATGACAGGCACTGACAGCCGAACAAAAGCTACGGCGAAAGGAACAAAACCGAGCGGCACAACGAGCATTTCGGGATCGCAAAGAACGTTATGTCAAAGAACTGGAGACAAAGATCAAATTTATGGAAGATACCCACGCCACAAGCATGCAGCGAGTTCAACGCGAGAGTGAGGATCTACGAAACGTGATCAAGCGGATGGAGTCTGAACTTTTGGCGATCAAAGGTGCAGTGGCAGCACATAATGACCAATTGAGTCAATTGCACCAAGAAAAGGGGGTCGATGTACCGTACTTTTCATTACCGGATACCATCATGCTCACGAATAGCAGCAGTGAAGAAGATGATGATGATGATGATGATGCTATGCCGGATGAAAACGATAACAACAACAACCTGATGGAGCCGACTGGTACGACGGCAACCGCAACGATGACAACGACAGAAGAGATGGCACCAGCTGCAAAGCGGATTATGCGTGTCGCTCCATCTGCAGTCGCATGCATCCGAGACAAGGACGGCATCAGTTTCTGCGAACGACTCAAGGAAGAAGTATGTTCCTCTGCGTATGATCAACTACTCTCCGAACCCTTATTTGATCCCTCTTCAGGCGTTTTCAACGACGCGGTGACACAGCATCCAGTACCCATTGCAGCAGGAGGCACTTTTAAAAACAATAATGTCGTTCGTAGACTTAGTAGTAATTCCAGTAGTAGTGGTAGCAGCAGCAGCAACAACAACAACGGCAGCCATGATTATAATCACCCAACAACAACAACAACAACAGCAGCATTACCGGACGCAATGCTACGACATGACTTTGACAGGTTTATGGACAGCATGACGGACCGAACCATCTTGGATCCAGCTACACATGAAACCAAGTTGGTGCCGTGCAATGAGATTTGGGAACGCGTGTCGGAACATCCTCAGTTTGAACAGTTTGATTTGGATCTGTTGTGCGAGGAGTTGAAGCGAAAGGCGAAATGCTCACATGATGGCACGGTCTTGGAAGAGGATGAGCTGTCTCAAGTATTACGTAAGATGGAAGCAAGTCTTGGTGGTCCAGAACGGTGATGGTGTTGCTTTTACCCCCTCCCTCCACCCCTTCCCGAAATTATCTAATCAGCAGAATTGTCCCACTCTCTCAATATTTCCTCGGGAAAAATGCCCCCCCCCTTTTTTTTTCCTTTTATCGCGTATGGATATTGCAATCATCCTAATTACAAAACCCAATTCTATCTCTCTCCCCTCCCCAAATCTCCCGTTAATAATTATGAATTAGTATTCCTCTCAATTGCTATGCAGATAGTTATATTGTGATTTGACTTATTGGATCATAGAAACAGGTGCACTGACAAACTATAATTTTCTTGGATTCGTAATTGTCCTCTTTTTTGACTATTACCTAATGAAGCTGTTCAACTCCAAACCAAAAGAGAGACATGTTATATAAAGGCGACGAGAATCACATGACCTCTTTATTTAAGGAGAGCATCCCCAGTGGCTAGAACATACTACGCAGTCGTTACATATTGGACTTTTAATGCATAGTCAATCTGACAGAATCCTAACTTTTTTTCTAATGCTCATTATGTGTGTGTGTGTGTGTGTGTGTATGAATTCTTGCAATAATTTAAATCCGACTATAACGAACAATTGCGCATAATTTTGTTTTCCTTGGGTTCCCGTTTCCCGCATGCACAGTTTTTTTTTTCCCGGATAACGTAGTTCCTTAAAATTGGCAACGCATCCACCAAGAATGCGGGAAAGAATATTCTGTGTGTGGTTGATCTTGAGGTTGTACCATGCATTGTACTACATGCTATCTATAAAAGCCCACACACTTCTCTTTCGGAGAAGCCGCTCGTTTTGTTTAGTTTGCTGTGCGCGCTTTTGTATACATCAATCAGGCTTTTGATGTTGAAAAGTTACACTGTAGATGAAAGAAGCTTACAGCGCGAACTTTCCGAGGATTGCGAGAGAGAGAAAATAATCGAGTAGCGTTTGCCAGATTGAGAGAGAGAAAGATCGTTTTTTATTCGGCTCGACACGTATGCACACACCCAATGGTCCGTGAAAAGAATCGGTCAAGTTTGCAACAACCGGGGTGCGCCACCTCTCCACCCCCCAAACTAGTGTGCGTTCCATACTCTTTTGGGCTCAAGACAACGCGAAACTAAACGAGTGAGCGCCCTTGTGACAAAGGGAAAAAAAACCTGTAGTATCACAGACGATATAGAAAATGACAACTTTAGACCCGTGGATAGCAGGACTTTTTTTATTTTTGCTGCATCGGGTGTTGTTCATAGAGTAGGGTTCCCGAATCATTTGGTTGGAAACTACTAAAGGTCTAGACTTTAAGCAATCATGAAAGAGAGAGAGAGAGACGGGGGGCGCCGTTAGACTGTTTTATTAGTGTGTGAGTGGTGCGTGGCCTTTTATCCTACATTACTACAGCTAGTGGTAGTCGTAGTAGTGATGGTGGTGGTGGTGTATGTGTGTTCATTACAAATCATTAAGCGTCGTGTTAATACTTGTTCCGGTAATTTGTGTGTTGTGGTGTCACATAGCAAACAAGTAGTAGTAGGGCACAAAAAACCGGTAATTGTCTATACAAAAGCGTCAATAGATAGGGTCTCTGCTAAATTGTCGGTAAAGAACAAGGTTCTGGATTAATGACAAGGTGCTCATCAGGAGATAGTGATAGATCGACGTTGACGACGATGATATGTGTGAGATCGTAAGATGCATAAAGTAATGCATACATGATGGGATATTAGGAGGATCTAATAAGGATGATAACGTAAGCTCATCACTATTATCGTAATGCTTCGATATGTACTAATAGGATGAGTTGATGCATCCTCTTTGAATATATACGACAGCAAGCGTAATAGTGTGGGTGGCTCATTAAGGATAGAAAGCGATAAAGGGTGAGTTCTATTTACATTGCATGGTGTATTGGTGGGGTGGGGGTCTTCTATTGAGAGACTTCTACTATAACCCAAAGAAGCGTGCATGATAATTTGGTTGGTTGGAAGAAGAGGATATTGGTAATGCCCGCCACCTCCTAACTCATATTACATTGTTTGTCTCCCTTTTTCATGTCGAGTACATGTATACAACCGAATAACAATGCTGCAGTCAGTGTGTCTGTTTCAACCAACAATTGGTCCTTTTGGGAGAGTGGGGATGGAAAGTGAAGGGGGGATGCAGCTAAATAAAAACACGCCAAGGACGAGTGTAGAGAGAGAGATGGGCCTTTTTCTCATACGCAGATACTACAAGGGGGCCACGCGGGGGGTGAGGCGGGATGGTGTGGGGAGGCTTGTTATTTATTCGTAGCAGAGCGATAAAAGAGGACTAGAAAGCCGATCCTTTACTTTTTCCCTTCTTTCTTTCCCTCCACAGAGCAAAGAAAAAAAAAACCAGGATGCTTCAATTTGACAACGGTCGGTCCCACCCGCACACATCTCCTAGATTTCATCCTCATCACCCTCGTCGCCACCACAACAGTCAACAGCAACATCACGGCAACACCAGTAGTAGTAGTAGTACGCCCGATGGATATTGGCCCATGTATGCTCCAGCATTGTATCCTTGCTACTACTATCACCCACAGAACGGAATGATGATGATGGTGCCACAAGCCGTAGTATCACCATCTGCTGCCCATCCTGCCGTCATGAGCCCCATCCCCGAGCACCATCGTACAAAGCATCCTCAATCACCACCATCACAACGACGGCGGCGCATGAACGACGATGATACCCCGCTCGCTTTATTAGCACATCAGAAGCGTTCACCAGCGCCTCCATCCTCATCACCACCACCACCTAATCTCCGTCAAAACTCGTCTCCTTTACTACGATCACCACCGTCTTGTTCATCCCAGCAACAACAACACCGCCTACTAGCAACACGGCAGCAGACGGCTCCGCAGCTTTCATCGCCATCGTCATCACCACCACCACCGCCACAACTCCTGTCATCCCCTCCATCATCATCCCCACAACAACAACAGCAGCAGTCAAAACCTTATCCGGCTCCTTCTTCACGGCCTCGGTCGCCACCGCAACACCAGCAATCGAGGCCATTATCACCACCACTAGCACCACAGCAAAAAGGACTGGTGCCATCATCGCATCCATTAGGAGGACGTAGCTATAGTAATAGTAGTAGTAGTCATTGCCAACAGCAGCCATCACCACAAATGCAACGTAATAATCAAGACCCTCTTTTTCCACAACGCAAACACTCTGCGCCCTCAGCAGCATCTCGTTATCATCCTGCACAACAACAACAACAACGAAATAAACAGAGGATGTTAGCAGCAGCAGGACAGCAACGACAATTGCCTCAAAGAAAAAACTCAGCCGCCTCGCATCCCGCACATGCACGTCCGCGGCGATGGCCTAGTGGTAGTAACTCCTCCTCCTCTTCTTCCTCAACATCAGGCCCAAGTTCATCCTTGGTCCGGTCGGCATCATTACCCACAAATACACATGCACAGCAACAGCTACAACAGAAGAAGCAAAAGCAGAAGTGGCACCAAAAACAACAAGACGATGATGATGGTGATGATGATGATTCTTCTTCTTCCACCAACAACAAACCTACCAACAGTATCGTTACTAAAGCTAGACGTTGGTTCTCACTTAATCGTCGCCAACAGCAACAACGTTGAAAAAATAATAAAAAAATACATGTTTTGTCTTTTTTTTCGAAATACATGCACATGAAAATATATATATGACGTGATTGTTAGATCATACATACATACAGACACGGACGCACATGGTACATCATATTTACTGTATACATAGTTAATTATAGCAACAACAACGAGCACTACCAAAAGAAACACAGGTCCAAAAATTCAATCATGTAGTTTCAGGTTTAGAGGAAGAAAGATTGAGGCCCGTGTTTTGTTCACGTGATTGTTGGCGGGGTGGCGTCAACGCACTAGTTTACCTGTTCAGTGCCGACAACAACAACCCCAATACAAAAGGTAGAAATGGTTGTTTTTGATGGTTTCAAGGGAAAGGCCCTTTAACCCTCTTTTTATGATTTATCTGGGTTGAAGCACAAATGTGTTAAGTGAGAGGTTAAGATGTATACTATGTACTGCTAGGTAGAAGGTGTTAAAAGGTTGAGAGAAAAAAAGAGAATTAAGCAACAGTCCATGAGTGTTTTCTTCTTGTTTCGTTGCAAGTTGCTTTGTTGTTTTCAAAAGGTGTGCCGGAGGGGGAGTGGTGGGGTTTATACAAGCAGCAGCTAAAAAATGGAGTTGTTGTTTTGGTACGGTGCGTGGATGACGTGTGTGGTTTCATATAACCTAGTAATAGTAGTGGGGGGTGGGGGTAAAACTCTATATAGTATTAAGTGGTGGTAGTAGTAATAGACTAGCAAAATTCCCCATTTTCCAAGAGGGCACTGCCTTTAATCTCTCCGCCATGCAAAACTGTTGTGAGTTTTTTCAACTTGATCATGATGACGATGAAGACGAAGACGACGACGTGGGTGATAAGGAAGAAGGTTGTGACGGTGATGTTGTTGATGACGATTGAGAGGGTCGTGGTTTAGAAGATGATGGTGTTTCTACCGCGCTACTGCTAGTCCTAGCTCTAGCTGCAGCAGCAGGCTTTGACTTTCTAGCCTCATCTTTTCCCTCCAATTCTTCTGGTAGACTCCTGCTAGCATTTCCGTTCCCACTATTGTGATTGATAGCAGCATGTTGATCAAGCTCTTCCTCTGGTTCCTCTTGATATTCATCATCCGACACGGTATCATTGTTGTTGCTGTTGTTGTGTATTTCAATCCCTTCCTCTTGCCGATTCGAATCAATCAACCAACGTCTGCAAAAAAAAAAAACAACCATCAAAATGAGCTAAACCTTTCTTTTTCCAAACCAACCGTCCTAACCATTCATCAAGGAAAACTTACACAATCCTTGGCGTCTCTAACCACCGTCGACCTCCACTCGCTGGATCACGAGGCCAAATATCTTCGAAAAAGTAATAAATGTGACCGACGCCAATACCGAGTAGATCACCCGTCGGCAACTGGCCGCTCAACAATAACGAAAAGCACAAGAGGACCCATGGCAGATGGGGCGCCCTAAACACCAGCAATCCCAAAAAGTTCAGTCGAACATATGGATTCCGTCTAGCCCAGATATACACCATCGTAAATGCCAGCGGTGACCCTAAAAACGGCATGTATGCAAATGGCAAGATTGTCTTTTAACAAAAAAAACACGTAATGTTAGTCTTTTCAAAAATCTTTTACGTCCGAGATCATATATGTATCATTGGAAACCACCACACGCGCGTGCCGATATGGACTTTTCACGTTGTTCCTAACCCCTAGCGCTCATGCCAACCACCACCATCCCTCTTTTCCCAATATATTCAACCCCCCACCCAATGCTTTACCGAGCAGATGATAAGCGACGCTGCCGAGAAAAACAAGAGCCAAACGTAATCCGCTGGTTTGTTGCGAAAGAACCCTTCTTCCATCATCCGTGAATAGCGTGCCCTGTTTTATATATGTATAGCAAAATTAATGTGTCAATTTCGTTCTCGCTGCTCAACCTTGCACTCCAATCTCACATAGGAGGGAAAAAAAAGCTTACAAAAAGAACATATGGAATAGGAAATCAATCGATAGCGGACCAAAGTATAGAAAGTTGGTCAAGAGTCGCCACCACTAAGAGAAAGAGAGAGACGTGAATATAGTGCAGGATTCATTTTTTTTTTCTTCTCACGTAAAAACTCTAGCTTTTAGCCCCACCCCCACCACTCATTCACACACACACACACACACACAGCCAGCGGAATCACTGTTTTACCTGATAACCGTAAATGATTCTATCATAGTTGAGCCAAAGCTGAAGTGGATGAACGAAACCGAGTTGCTAAAAGAGTCGAATTTAAATATAAATGTGTATAGAATCAAGGGAATCTTTAGGGAGTGTGTGCATATATATGTATTACTTACAACAGCAAGACTGGTTAAACAGGACGCAGTAATGTAGATGCGCGTAATGGGAGGAATGTCGGTGTACCACGTCTCAATAGGTGAAGGCATGACAGCTGGATCGATCGTCGTCCTGTTATTTTCAACAGGGGGGGGAATAAAGGGATGGTCGCTCTTTTTTGTTTGGTAAGTGGGTCAAGTGGGAAAAAAGAAAGAAAAAGGGATGGTGAGGAATCCTTCTGGCTTTTTTTTTTGTTATCAAGAAAAAAAAACGGTATAAAGGAAGGAAGCAGATCGCGAAGGAAAAGAGGGTGAAGTAGGCCCTTTTTTTTTCTTTTTTGCAGGAAAAATGGATACGAGCTGCTGTTACGTTTCGCGCTTTCAATGGTTGATTTTCTCTCTTTTGAGAGAGAGGAGAGTGGGGTGAATTGCATTATTACGGTTACACTGGCTCCTCGGTGCGTGCAAGTGAGTAGTACAAGGAAAAAAGAATAAAAAGCACGTAAAAAATGTTCCTGTTTATGCAGTGAGGCAAAAAGATGTGACGAATAACAAGAACGTGGTAATGGCGTTCGGTTTTCACAGTCTAAATCAGTGCTTAAACAAGTCTCAAGCAGTTGTAATATGGGGATGGATCTGCATTCAGGCTGTTTCCATTTTGGTGCTATCCTATTCTCATTGTGTGCACATGGATCAGGGACAGCTTGATGTGTTTGAGATTATGTATACTGTCTTATTGATGTGCTACTGTTTTTTTTTCATGAAAATGCCTTATTAAACAAAAGGACAGTAATTCTTGCTCTTCTTCTTCTTCTCCATCCAATATACATCACGCAGCATTTTACCAACCAACCAACCAACCAACAGCGTCGACGTTCATAGAAACCCCACCCACTCTCATTATATATATATATATATGTATATGCCCGATCTATTCAATGTTACCATCTTTTTCATCGTTTTCCGCGAAACACTCGAAGTAGCGCTCGTCCTGTCCATCATCTTTTCCTTTTTGCGGCGCATCTTTGACCGAGAATCACTCATCTACAAGCACTTGCGGCGACAAATCTGGCTCGGCGTGCTCGTGAGCACCATCCTCTGCATCGTGGTCGGCACTGGCTTTATCGTCACTTGGTACACGGCTGTGAAGGATTTGTGGGAGACGACCGAAGATATCTGGGAAGCCGTCTTTTGCATGGTCGGCGCACTCTTGACGACCATCGCCAGCATTGCCATGCTCAAGACTGAAAGGCTGGAGGAGAGATGGAAAATCAGGTTGGCTGAAACGTTGGAGAACAATCCTGGTCCCCACAGCGGTGTTGGTGGTAGGAGTAGGAGTAGTAGGAAAGGCAAGTTGGATAAGAGTCGATTTTGTGGCAATTTGCAACGGAAATCGTTCTTTTTGTTGCCGTTCGCTACTGTGTTGCGTGAAGGAATCGAGATTATCATGTACACCGGTGGGGTAAAGTATACAACTTTGTTGTTTTTATTATCATTCTCTACAACCAAACCCGCAACCCTCGCACACCTATATGACGGATCTAACAAACCCCATCATCACTGATTTGTAATAAATAGGTCTCGTTAAACGTACCAGGACAATCGATCCCCCTACCAGCTGTTACTGGATTTCTATGTGGTTCCTTATTTGGCTATGTACTGTACCGAGCAGGCGCTGGCGTCAGGAACGTCCGATGGCTCTTTATCGTATCATCGGTGATCCTCTGTCTAATGGCAGCCGGACTCATGGGCCGTTCGATTGGATACATTGAAGCATACGCCTGGGAACAAGTGACCGACCACTTGAACGACCATCACGGCAATGGTATCATCCAATACAGAGTAACCACTGCCGTTTGGTATGTCACTGCAGGCAACACAAGCTCACCCAATGTAAACGGCGGATGGTAAATGGAAACAGATTCATCTATAATAGATAACCCAACACATTGAAGATTGACTGTTTTTTAATTACTTTAGGCAACTTTTCCGCGCAGTCTTGGGTTGGAGCAACTTGGCGACCATCCACACCATTGCAGTTTATATTGCTTTTTGGGCCGTTTACGTGATGGTGCTGGTGTACCTGTACTGGAGTGAGAAACGAACAGCGATACGGAAAGCCAAACTGGGGGCTTGGCAAGAAGGGGATATTGCATTGGAGCATGCGGAGGGCTATGTGGATCCAAATGGCGATATTATGCACAATCATGCAGCAGCAGCAGAAGCCGCACCAACCATCAGTGATGGTTCCGGAATCAATGCAAGCGTAATAAATCAGCAGGATAAACATCATTCGTTGGATTATTTGGATAATGTCATGACGATGAGTCTCAAGGACTATGTAGCGTCAAGGCAATTGTGAAAGAAACTCTCTCTCTCTCTCTCTCTCTCTCTCTCTGCTCGACATATCATAGTACTCCTCCCACTTTTTTATTCCCTTCCTTGTATTTGTGCCATTCATTCGTTCAATTATCACTACATTGTTGCATCTTATTCCCAGAATTCTGTAAATAACTCACCACTTAATATATATTTTGCTTTCATTTGATATTCAGCGTATATGATCGCATGTAGCTAATTAAATCAGACCCGGGGGGGAGGTTGGTTCCCCCTGTTCCAATCCATCTTTCATCACCCAAAATCATACATCTGTACCATCCCATCCAGCAATTATGCCCGTGCACACTAACTTTAATTATACTTTTGCACCTACATTGAATGTACCTTTCAGGGGCGCCCTACAACTGATTGGCCGAGATCACTAATACATCCCTCTACTGTACACAAAAGATAGCAAAAGAAAAAGATTTATTTCTTTTTATTACCGCGTTTAGATGCAGCAGGCTGTGGGGTAGTAACATCTGCAACATCGTCCGTGTCTTCTTCCACTTGTACATTCTTTATATTACGAATATAGTCGGCAAGCACCTTTTGATCTGCTGCACGGGTATAGGGCCGATCATCAGCACCATGGATAGTGCAAGTGACCGGATCGACCTTGACACCATCGTCTTCAGGCGCATTGACATCTTGTGTCGAATCTACGTGCCAACCGTTCCCGCCATCTTCCGAATTCTCGTCACCGACCGCCCAAATCTGATAGCCGTACCCACAATCCTCCTCCAAAAACTGACGCCGTCGTTCCGAGAAGCTCGTTTCATGCGTCCCACGGGTGACCAAGGTATAAAAGCGAGAATAAAAGCCCTTTTCCGACCGTTTCTTGGCACGCAGCACACGACCCAGACGCTGAGCCTCTTGTCGACGCGATCCGAAATGCGACGACACTTGGATCAGGACGGTTGCAGCAGGCAAATCCAAACTGGTATCACCGATACGCGACAACAGCAATGTGTTGACGGATTTGGCTTTCAGTGCACGCTGGGCCGCCAATTCGGACCAACTGGCTTCCTTGGGGTTGAGTTTGGGAATGTCGATCTGGAAGCGTTTCAACAGACTGCGCGCGTCTTCGGGCGAGGTGCCGCCATAAATGAACGGACGGTTTAGTTTTTCGGCATACAGCTTGAGTGCATCAATGTGGTCGCAAAAGACAAGGATCTTGTCGCCCCGTGCTTCGTGGTATTGGATCAGTCTTTGACAGATTTGGATCTTTTTTGGGTTGAGGATGGATAAGAGGCTTTTGATGTGATGCGCATGGCCCAATACACCAGAACTACCGGAAGCGTCAGTGACAACATCATCATAGACTTGGCGGAACGGTTCATCCATGGACAGTTCTACTTGGGTACAGATGACTTTGGCAATGTACCCCTTATCAGCCAACTCTTTCCATTTTGCATGATACAGGGTGGGTCCAACCAACGTTTCCAAATCGCCAATCTTTTCATCCTCGCGCAACATGGTTGCCGTCAAGCCCAACCGGACTTTGGTATTGATTTTCGCAATGGCTTTGGAAAAATTGCTTGCAGGAACACAATGGACCTCGTCCAAAATGACCAAACCCCACTCTGTCGCATTAATGAATTTGCTCATGCGTTTACTGTCGGCCGTCCGGTTCTTACTGTCGACCAACATGGTGTAGGTGGTAAACATGACGCCCGAGGGGCCATTGAACGGCCATTTCTTTTGCCCAGCAAACATGCCGGTTTTGGACGCCATGAGGGTAGTAAAGTTCAGGAACTCGTTGCTGAACTGTTCGGCCGCAATGATGGTGGAACAGACGACCAGGACGGGTTTTTGAAGTGTGCACGCGACGAGAATGGAGGTTAACGTTTTGCCTGCACCACAGGGAAGGACAATGATGCTGGATTGCGCCACGTTGGTTGCTGGATCGATAATGGCATTGACGGCTTCGCGTTGGTAAGGTCGCACTTCAATGCTTGGCTTGAGTGCAATGGGTAACTCTGGTAACTGTGTGTCTTGCTTGTATGCATAGGGTGGCAGAATGGCTTCAGGTACATGACGTGTTGTTGTTGTTGCTGGTGATGATGTCGTTGTCGTTGTCGTTGGTAATTTTGATTTCATTGGTTTTTTGCTGGGTGACTGTTTCGAAACTACTTGTTCTTCTTCTTGATGAGTACGTTTTTGCGGAATCGTTGTGGAAGTTTTAAGATCGGAACCAGGACTCGAGGACGTGATTTTTAAATTTTCATTGTCGTTATTGTTAGTTTCGGCATCCCTCTCATGTGTTCGCTGCTGAACAAACGACAAGAGATTGGCCAGTTTCTTTTGTCGATCTTCAGTTGATGCTTCTGGATTAAAGTTGCAGTCCATTGTATGCAGGTGTAGAGGAAAAATTCGCAGCAAAGCTGTCAAGTGGTGTAATGTGTGTGTGCCCAGCCTCTTGTTTTTTTTTGTGTGTGAATCATAAACCTGTCATTTCAGAGACCGCTCTGTTAGTTGTTGTTGGCTGCTGCTGCGGAAAGCCCTTCCCGCCCCCAAAAAACTGGATATGGATTATAACGTTGTGTTGTATTTTTAACCAGTCCAAGAATTCAAAATAGTGATGAACGGTACAAGTGCTTCATACACATCCAACACCTTATCCAGGAACCCTTCCGACACGACCTCCAGATCCGAAAATGTCTTTGACACAACAAAGCTCTTGTACCGCAGCAATTCGATCTCGGGATGATCCTTTGGGAAATTCTTGGGAGCCGTCTTGAGCTTGTCTTCATTGGATAATACTGCAAGTCCACTCTGACCCAACGTTTCTTTGATGGTTGGCAAGTTGAGCGCTTCACGCATAAGATCTGCATTCGCTACAATGCCTTCTCGGATCCGTGCTATGCGTGGTGGGGACGGCTGCCAAATGCCGGCTGCTACGTGTGTTTCTCCGTTCGGCGCTACGCCAATATAGTAGCCTGCAAATGGGGATTTCTTGCCCCCTCGTGAAAAGGATGCGCTCATGTAGGACTTGTACGGTCGAAGATCGTTTGTGAATCGCAAGTCGCGACTTTTTTTTTTTTTTTTTTGTAAATACGGTGATGATGATGACGATGAGTAAAAACAACACGCTTAAGAGAAAGAGAGAGAGAGAGACAAGGGGGTGAGACATACTGTTGTCGGTAGATGGCATTTTTGGGTTCTTCAATCAGTACGGTTGGATCCATCTCATTCAACTGTTCTGACACCATCTTGACGAAATCCATAAAGTCATTTCGTATTGTATGCCATCGTTTCTAAACCACACATTTCCCCCCCATCATTTTCCAATTAGTGGATCTGTTATAAGCCCAAAACACCTCACGTCCCTTTGAGGAATCCCCTTACCTCGTTTGTCCGCATAAAATCACGGTTATTGTCTTCTCTAAGTTCTGCAAGGAACTCGAGTAAACACGGCGACAAAGCATCAGCAAACGGAGCACCTTTTGGCCTTGGAATATCAATTGCTGTTGTTGTTTTAGTGGTGGTAGTAGTAGTAGTAGAGGAAGAAGAGGCTGGTGATTCTTCTTCTTCCTCACTACTATCGATTACTTTTTTTTGTGTCTGTCGCGTCTTTTGAGTACGACTACTTTTACTGGTGGTTTCTCCTTTGTTTTTGGCAGACTGTGACAATCGCGCGTCCACTTGGTTGGAATTAGGCTTCACATGGGCTCGTTTTTGGATCCGAGGAGGTGGTGATTGGAAATCATCGTCAGACGAATCATTATCGTCACTAAACTCGCTTGCCTCTTCTTCTTCTTCTTCTTCTTCTTCACCGTCATCGTCATTGTTTTCTGGTTTTTGTTGTTGCTTCGTACGCGCACGCGTTGCCGTTGTTGTTGTTTTCGCAGGTTGACGTGTTGTGCTCTTACTTGACTTTGCTGTATCTTTGTTGGACTTGCTACTCGCAGTGACCTTTTTATTCGTTGTTTTTGTTAATGCCTCATTGTCACTGCTACTACTGCTGCTGCTGCCTGAAGCATGAACGGCCTTTTTTGTCTTTTTGTTGCTGCTACTGCTGCTGCTGCGCTTCGCGAGTTGGCGTGTGCTTTTGCGTTTTTTGCTGTTGCTTGATTCTGCCTTTGCTGCTGCTTCTTCTTCTGCTGCTGCTGATTTAGAGAAATACGGTGATTCTTTTTTTTTTATTTCTTTTCGTTAGTTTTAGAGATTGAAAAAAAAAAAGTGTTCATAGGGTTTGTCATTATACCTTTTTTCGTGCGTCGCTGCTGCTGCGGAGCCATCTTAAAGAGAGAGCAAAAAAAAGTGCATACAGTGCTGTTTGAGAGCAAAGGTTGTCACGAAACTCCACCAAAAAAAGGTCCGCCCATCCCCTTGTATAGCTTTTAATGCATATATAAAAATTGTGTGGTTCATCCAGATCGAGTAGCCCATGATAAATAACGGTATTTGGTGCGGATGAGCTTTTTTTTTGCCAGGCTTTTGGTTTCTTGACATTCTGCTCATTCTTCTGGCATTAACAGCGCGCCCACTACTACTAACACTACTACTACCACTACGAAAGCATATATTGCCAAGACCTTCCCACAACATGTTTCTGTATAGTCCTTGCTAATTGGCGCCGGCCCCCCCCCCCACCCCCTTGTTGTTGTTGTTGTTGTTCGCTGCTGCTGATGTCTATATCACCCCGCTGTATGTGTAAAATAGCGCTCTGCAAAGATCAACAACAATATATTTTTCTTTCTCAAAGCAACACGGACATCAGACAAGTTTTTAGGCAAGATAAAGAAATCTGCACGATGAAATAAAATCGATGATAATGTGTTGTGTTTGTTTATTAAACGAGTACAGCAGCAACGACGGAAAACAAGTGTCACAGGGTGTTACGGTTCTTGTTCTCAGGGTTTACATTTACAGATCTCTCTTGCTACCTTACTGCTATTACCACGGACACCAAGGCGAGCTTACTTGAGTGTGCGGTTTGCTGTCGACTGATGTCATTCGTGTAAATTACGATTTGCCCGCCCTTATTTCCAGCAGTATGTATAGTAAGATATCTCCTGGATGGAAAAATAGCCTCGTCACATGTTATTGTTGTTATGCTGCTGCTAAGATACGAGATATACATCACTACGTAAAGTGATCCGAGCGATGATGTGTCTGTAGCACATGTATGTCTATGTGCATACTACAAGCAAATCATAAATCACAGCGTTCCATCAACATTAAAGACCAAAAAAAAAAAAAAAAACATTGCTCATGACAGATAATAAATTTATACTGTCAAAAAGGTTTATGCAACAAGCAGCACGGTCTTTGCACTCTGTACGACGGTACCATGTAATACGATGATGATAAGAGTGGCAACCAACATTGACTATTGGAGGGGAGAGCTACATACTACGTATACTTGAATTTACTTTACGGCACAATTATCAGTATATTTGAAACACAGCATTTTCTTTCACGTAGAGCCAAACCCAAAGATCTATCTTGAGAAGAGGAAGGCACATGATAGAATAAGGATGGAACGGATAGCTTAGAATTACGAAAACGAAAACTGAATGGCTCACATCGCCCCCCAATTGAGTTACACAAATAAGAGAGCCGATCCTCACCACTCCCCCTTTTGTGTGTGTCTGGGTTGTACAGAAAAAAAAAAAAGTTTTTCGCAAGTGGCTGTCGAACGGAATGCACTATTATCATGACTGTATATGTATACCCATGACCACGACCAATGACGATGAGCAATGATTGTCTCTTTCCCCCCTCAAGGAATCGAGGATGTTACATGGAATAACAATAAAATGACATCAAGAACACTATGTGTATACGTGACTCACTGGGGCTGACTGAACTGATTGACTATTAGCTCATCAATGACTCAGTGACCAGTGGACCCCACCCCACCCACCCCCCCCCCCCATGACTCGGCAATAAAAAATTCTACCACCCAACCCGGTGGTGGGTGCCGGCATGGGAAAGCGGTGGCAACGCCGGGAGGAGAGAATGGGCGGGGCCATGAAATTTTTTTCTTTGGTTTCTTGCAGGAAAGGAGTTTTGGTCAAAAGGAAATCACATATAATTATCGATCTCCGGGCATGCATACAAAGCTTTCAAAAGATAACACCTCCCCCCCCTTGAAATTCACTTATCATTACAATATATGCATGCAACAAACAACAACAACAACAACAACAACAACATAGCCAGCATGTGTGGCTTGCCCTATCTCTCTATCGCAACGTTCCGAAGGGGTGTGAAGTGTGCGTGTGTGTGTCTGATATACAAAGAAAAAAGATCGTTCTGGAGGTTCGTGCAAGCCAAGAGAAATTGTATCACAGACGTCATGGAGGGGTTTTGGCGATTGGACTATTTTGCCTCAACACACAACACAATTTAAAGAGCAGAAACAAATTATATATAAAAAAATAAAAAAAAAAATCCAAATTTGGGGAAAGTAAAAAAAAAAAAAAAAATTGTTTTTTTTAGATCCGTGCCTATTTGCCCATCATCACTCTCCAGCAACTCTTTTCTTTCCTCCAACTCTTTCGCTTGTCTCCATTTCTTCTGTGATTGTATATATTATGTGTGATCGGATATAGCAGCTTTGCCAACCCCCCCTCCCTTTACTGCAAAAAAAGACCTCTCTTTTTCTTCATTTAATACAACAACAACAACAACAACAACAACCTCATAAATGCCTTCTTCTACTTGTTCTTCCCAACTGTATTTTACCGACGATAACAACATGGTCCCAGATCCTTCCAATAAACAAAAGAGCCAGTCATACATGATCGACTCGGCCTACAACAGCCCCAGCTCAACAATCGACAGCCGCCGTCCTTCGAGCGCTTCCATCCGGAAATGTGATGTAGATGCTGCCACGACAACAACAACAACAACAACAACAACAACGACCACGGCGGCCACCGCAACCAAATGCTACACTGGCAGCGTCAAGGAGTATGGCGAATGCTATCGTCGTCTTGGTGAAGGCACTTCGGCTATCGTGATGGTGTTTCGCAAGATGGACAAGTCCGGACGAAACAACAAGCTGTATGCCATCAAACAGTTCCGCAAACGCTCAAAGTCCGAGTCCGAAAAGGAGTACATGAAGAAACTCACCAGCGAGTTTTGCATCTCGTCTACATTCTCCCATCCCAACGTGGTCTCTACCCTTGACCTGGTTTTGAACGACCAAAAGCGATACTGCACAGTCATGGAATACGTAAGAAAGAACCAAGACTTTTTTTCTTTCTTTCTTTCTATCTTCGATGGCTAAAACATATATATTCTATTTAGTGCCCTGGCGGTGACTTATTCTCTTGTATCATGGCAGAACGAATGGGTGAACGCGAAAAGCTGTGCTGCTTGAAGCAGCTCGTGCAAGGTCTAGCGTACTTGCATGGGATGGGCGTAGCGCACCGCGACATCAAGCCAGAGAACTTGCTGCTGTCGACGGATGGACAGATCAAGATCACCGACTTTGGTGTGTCGGACGTGTTCCGCTTTGCCTGGGAAAAGCAAGGCCACAAGAGCCGCGGTCTGGTGGGCTCTGAGCCATACATTGCGCCCGAGGCTTACGAACAAAAGGAATACTGGGGCTCAATAGCAGATGTCTGGTCCGCCGGCATTGTGTTTTATTGCTTGTGGACCTCCGGCCTGGTCTGGCGAAAGGCCAGCAAGAAATCCGATAAACCTTTCGCTATCTACACGCGCATGTACCCGACCCAGACGTTTGATCCGTTCTTGCAGTTCCCTCCTCAGCCACGACGTGTGCTGTACAAGATGCTCGATCCAAACCCAAACACCCGCATCACCTCGGCGGACCTGCTCGAGGATCCGTGGATGCAGTCGATTCCGGTGTGTCACCATGGCGTCGACTCATCAAACCAGCGTCATGACCATGTTGTACGGAGTAAGATTGTTGCAAAGTGATGTATTCCAGTCAAAGTTCACAAAAAAAAAAGAAACCTTCATTGTTGTTGTATTCTTACTATTATTATTGTTATACCCCCTCTCCTCCCAACCTTTTTTCTTCTTCCTCTTCTTCTCCCGTTTTTACCAATCCAAACTCGCCATCCCATTTGTTTCAGCATCTCTCTTCTTTTAAGTTATATATATTCCCTGTACATAGTAAGTATCTCACATCCTCCGACCCTCTTTTCACACACAAATATTAAAACAAGTGATTTTCGTGGAAAGAAGGCACGTGCATCCATCCATTCACCTGGGTCAGGCTTTCTCCCACCCACGTCATATACCATTAGCACGTGCTGTAAACTATTTTTCTTGCTCGCATAAATCAAAAATGACGATTTTCGTCAAATAAAGTTGGGGCCATTAGCCACACACATGTAGAGAGAGAGAGAGAGAGAGAGACAGATACTCCTCCCAGGAGATCAGACCACTATTAAAAAAAGCAATGTGAGAACCGAGTTATATATCCAGGACGTGTTATGTCGTCCAAAAAGTTGTAGTTTGTGAGAGTAGCAATATATATGCATATGAACGAGTGAACAAACTTACTCGCCATTGAAAAAAATTAATACTCTCAAATATTTAAGAAACCCTAATGGCCTTATAATCATTATTACAAGTTACAAAATTAACATAGGTTTTTAGAATCCTTTTCAGAACCTACTTCAACCTCGTAACACACATAATCAAGAAATATCCAGGCTTACAAGGCAGCTGGGATGGCAGATTAGCAGATGGTATGCGGCGTTAGATTCAGTACGTGGTGTACTTTGGCTATATACATTGCAGCCTATAGGCGGACAAGGTTATATTACAGTGTGATACCTAAAACTTTCAATGCTCTTTTGAGTGATGAACAAAACAAACAACATGTATTGCACAGAACAGCTACGGCATATGTAGCCTTTACTTTGCAATTTCTGCTTATGAAGTTTCATTTTTCGGCCTATGTTAAACATTTAACTTGGAATGCTTTATTGGTCAAGCAGTCATTGAACTGTTATCATATCAGTGCTTGTACCCAGTACAGTATTGCAGGTTTGTGATGGAAAAAACCGCTACTTTAGTGTGGCAACCCTCTCTTTCATATCATATCATTGTTCGTCTCCACTTGCTAAGGCCACAACAGCTCTATAACAGCATAAATAAAAAGAACATGCTGAAGTTACTGAGCTTAGTGCTGAGGAAGACTTGGTTAGTACTTGAAGTGCAACATTATACGTTGATTCTCTGTAATCAACTATATGCACTCCAAACTAACTGCAACAATGTCTGTGGTATCTAACTTGGTCAAAAGCATACATATACTTTTCTATTTATGACCACTTCCCTCATAAACTCCTACTAGGCGCAAACATTCCTTTATCTAGGCACATCTTGATGGTGCTACATAGACTACTAACTCTCAAAAAGAAGTTCTTATTGCATAGATCACCAAAATCTCAATTAGAATCTACAGTAATACATTAAACCAGATTGTTTCTTCACTCATGTTTTCTATGTTACTTGATCCACACGAACCGTAGAAAGAATCTCGTGTAAACCTGTGAAAACCTGTAGGATAACATCAATCCTATTGGATCTTTGATAAGCAAGTGATATATTTTATCTTTCAAATGCTGAACAGGTTGCCAGCAGATTGATGTGCATTTTAAAGAAGGCTTTTACAACATGCTTATTTTATTTTAAAGTATCTTGGATATTAGGCTCAAAGAAGAGTCATTTAAAAATTAAGTAGGTTTAAGTTATATATTGGGAGAGAGAAAGTTTTTACATCAACAGAGCGACGAGCGAGAGGACGGTTTCAAGCAATGTTAACAATGCAATCTTGAGAAGTCCGGTGATTCCAGTATTTTCAAAAAATCCGTCGGCAGCTCCGTTGACAACATCCACAGCGATTGCAATCAATTCGTCTCGATTCGGGGCGGGTTGCTGCTCACCTTCCGCTGGCTGTTGGGATTGCTGCTCATATTCGGGACTTGACGTCAATTTAACCATCTGGAGAGCAACCGTGTTCATGAAGGGGACACTGCCGGACGGGCCCTTTGATTCAGCCCGGGAGCGCTGAATGGCGGTATCGAGAGCACGCAAGTAAGTTGCAAATTGGCGTCTTTCTGTTTCTGTTCCTCCAGGAGTACTGCCAGCAGTAGTGCCATGTTCAGAAGCAGCAGCGGCAGCAACAACATCTTGCTTTATTTTTTCAGCGCCTTCGGCAGTGACACCGGATGGATCCTTCGAGCCAGTGGGATGGGCTTGGACAGAGGCCGAGAACAGGAAACACAGGTGCAAAGCCAGGACCACCGTCAGAAATAGAGAGGACAACTTGATTTGCATGGTTACAAAAGAGAAGTAATGTGGCTAGAAGATAGTAGATGAATGTAGTAGTTACCGGCCACCTTTATATATATATATATATTTTCTCGCTTTCTGTCGAGTCTCCAATTTCTACATGCTCGTACAGGAAATTAACTTTCTTCTCCATGTATATATTACATATATCTCCTGATTCTAGGCGGGCGTCTGGATACGCCTTTCGCGGAATCGAGTAAAGCCGTGTTTTCCAATTGATAGGCGCTTTAAAGAAGCATTTTCGCTTAGGAGAATCACGCATAGCTATGCATGAAAGAATTTTCCAGGAACCGCTGGAAAGTGCTTATATTTTACATTGTTAGCGCTCTTGATATCGCGGTGTGTGCATAACATGGTTTCCGCTACATAGGTGTCCAAAATTACATTTTTTCACGCTAATCCAAAGGAAACTCATGTGATACTATAAAAAATGCGAGTATATAATCACTTGTTGTAAATCATTTGTAATTTGCTGAAGTGTCCTGCACAACGAGTGCTCCTCAGCTGAGTTAAAGATAACTGTAATAGCTCCTACTAGTTCCTTGCTCTCCAGAGTGTTCTATCTCGACCGTTTACATGAATAAGCAAGGGAGATGCCCCTTGATTCCCCGCTTCCGCTTAGTAAGCAGTGTACGCCGGTGCAGTTTCTAGCAAGACGTACAAGGCCGTAAGAAGCTTCTCCGGCCATCCCCTTCCCCCTGGTGGCGAAACATCATACATTGATGCTCCATAATTTATGTGATCGGATGTAATATGTCGGGCTTTTCACTATAGTTATTCCCATGTATGATAATAGTATATATTATCGATTCGTATCATACGCAAAGCTCCATACAGCTTCTTTATGCTTTTAAGAGTTGTTATGGAAGTGGCATCTATGAATCCGGTCATTTCAATAAAAAGCAAGGTCTTTTCAAATTAAGGCGTCCCATGTTTTCGCTTCGTGCGTTACGTATGATAAAATGAGCTTTGCTGGAAGAAAGGATGTGTATAACGGACTGTGCTGTATCCCACAGCTAGCCGCACGCACCCCCCCTTTTTTATCTCCCTTTGACGACACCCAATTTCGCATGTATATGCAGAGAGGTAGCCTTTCAACTATTAGAACTATAATAGCATGATAGGTTTTGCCCCACATTCGGATGATGTGCATGTTTCACAACGCCATTTGGCACGCCTTGCCGGAAGATCATTAGGGATGCTTCTCGGTGGTGCTCTGATGGTGTCGGTTCTGTTTCTGGCTCCTGCATCTGTGATATATCAGGATCAAGGAATGTTTGCTGCTGCTATTGGTTAGATAATACTGGCAAAATCAAACGTGGCTGCCGAAGCTAATGATAAGGATGTTGCTAAGATGTTTTGCTGATGCTGGTGGTAAACGTTGGAAGCCATTCGCAAGCGAGGAGCTTTTAGCGCAGAGGGTGTTTGGGTATCTGATATGTGTTGCTTTCTGTCCGTCGCTCTGCATCGCTTCTCCAAGGGCTGTAGTATGTTTCTGTAACTGTTCTTTGTGTTTTTATATGTTTTAGTATTCTTTCCATGTTTTGTAGTACATATCATCCGAGGTATTCAAGTGTTTCGTAGAAATGATGATACCGTTGACTAGCACATTTCATTGGCCCATACAGTATTGTATGTGTCAAAAAGCTGCTTGTTGTCAGGATACAGTACAATGGAGAGGGTTATGATACCATTAAAAAATGTAACTTTTTGAAATGATGGCGTCAAAGCTATGTATATTATTTATTCATTGTATGCTTACGCTTAACACGTCTGAACACCCAAGTTGGTTCTTAAATGAGTTAATATTTTGATGTCGTTCCTTGTTTTCGCAAACTTTTCTCGACATGTGTTTTGTCTCCATCAACAACAAAGAGTGCGTCACAAAACGATGGTCAATATGGCCGTGAGAGCGGATAATGAAAGTGGTAATGCTAATACATCGAATACACGCGTACTGAATTTTAGATTCATTGGCGCGTCAAGAAAATGTAGTTAAGTTTGGACATGATGCGAGGGTAATTGACGTTGTTACACCCTTAATGAGAGACAGGTATAGAATGATATACTAAGTTTGAATGATAGAAATCAACAATTGGCTGGTATGAAGGTATTGTGCTGTAAAGGAGGTAGCCAGTGATTTGTACATCAAACTTTTCTTGAAGAGTGTGCACCAGTAACATGTGCTCCCAGTTCTCAGCTTGCGCAAGCCTCCCGTATATATCGTAGTCCCTATGGTCGTTTCCGTTGCATACATTATTTCAGTTTCGTGTACGCGACTGGCTAACTGACCATTGCTGACGTTTGATCCGTTCGATGACTCCGGTTCTGAATCTGTCACGCTGTCAAGGGTACCTTCTCTGTAGAAGTTTAACGAGTTGGACAATCGCTCGGCTGCTTCAAGCTAATAATATCACGTCGTGCCATTTAGAATCTGGTTTCTCCAATAGAACACATGCTGTAGTTAAATGACGTTGCAAGGAGCAGAGCAACTCAAAGATAAATGGCCCTCTAAGGGTGTGTTACCATTACTTGGCTCTTCTAATAATGTATAAGATTACTAGCCACTGTCAACGTAGTCTTATAGATGGTCAAATTCAGATCATGAAACTGGGCACTAATCACCACACTGTACTTGATCATAATAGGGTATAGCTGGATCAGCTGAATTTGGGCTAGTCGATTTCACCTATAAAATTTCTGGCTTTTCTTTGTGTCTGTTTTCACAGGCAAACACATGACTATGTTTAATTTTGTATACCGGCATACCGATCTTCGAGTTATGAGCAAAGCTGGAGAGCTTTTTGCTCTCTTTAACTTGCTTTCTTTAAGGACATACCTGCAGCGGCGTGGCACTCTGTTCTATGATTTTAAGTACAAGATTTATTTATTACCATCATCGTGACTTAAGTTTAGCACCGGTCTCATACATACCTTTTTATTCGATAACCTTGGTCCAACAAGAGTACCGAATCCAGTATGTCGCCACAATGATGTGTTTGATATCTATCTCGTTGTTTGACGGCTCTTAAAGGCGGCCGCTCTGCCACACAATAGCGCTAATATTTTTTTTGTGAATGAACACGTTTTGCAGTCATCAGCAACTGAAGGTACAGCTTTCTCACGCCCGGAATATATATCTTTCCACTTTGGTCCAGAAGCTAAAAGGATCAACTTGAGCTATTTTACCTGCTGTAACCTACCTTGTTGTCCCCAATACATTCGTATCAATAAACGGGCTCTTCCCCTTAGTACTGGCTTTGTAATCTACTTGTATCACTATCTGTCAGTTTACTCTCTATCATTTTCATCACAGACTTGGTGTAACTATGAGTGCAAATTTATCTCACACCCGCAACAATACGCTTACTGCGCAACACCACTCTTACTGCGAGTGCAAAAACAACTCACACCAGGTGCAAAACCATTTCGCACTACTGCGGTATTCATTGGATCAAGGACCAATTAGATTAGATATAGATAGTGTATTAGAATTAGTATAAATAGACCAATATTTTGTATTGAATAATGAACAGTTCAGTTCATTAGCTTCTCTTTCTCTTAACTTTAGCTTTTCCCTTTCCTATCAAAAGGATTGTCTTTTGTGGCTCCAAACGTAATAATTCCTGGTTGTTGAGCTCCCACACTTCTATTTCATCTCTTTTGCTTAATACTTAGCATTTCATCCAGATTTATCAACTTTTCTTATACTATCCATTCTTTTAAACGGGATTCGTAACTCGTACACAAACTATGACGTTACACTGCTTTAAGGGGCATGCTCGGGCCAATTGCAGCAGGATGCGCCGCTCATCCCGTTTAACAACCAATTTCAATGGAGTGACAACACAACAAGGGAAAGAAGAAGGTCTCCACTGGTAAAGTCTGCCTTTCGCATGGTTCCGGCCGCCATTCGTCAGAGCAACGCCGTGCTTTGTCGAGCCTTCGCGGCAATGGTTCGTCTAGCAAGGTGTCGAAGCACTCATAATGCTGCTTTGGATATTTGTGCCCAGTGCGGAAACCGAGCTGGATTAGTACCTGAATCGAACATAAAAAAATATCTATCCAGAGTCGAGGTCTTTCTTCTATTTCTTTGCTGTTAAGCGAAGCTTGGTTTAGTTAGCGAAGAATACCTGCGGCAGATCCATCATTCGTAACATTGAAAGCTTCTTCGCTCGTCAACTTCGGCACTTGCTCGTGCCTACAAGGGAGGAGACGTCGGTATACTGGACAATGTGGTTCAGCACTCTGCTTTGCAGATTCGATGACTTTTACCTCTGCTTAAATTTGAAGAAGATCGAGAACCTTACCTCTTTTCAATTCTGCGATATCTTGCCTGCGCTCTTTAACACAGTTATCCTCGGCTCTAGATTTATTGCTCATTCCCGCAAAATACAGTACGCCGCTCCCCTAACAGCATTTTAATTGTAACTTCTCACTGTTTCGAGTCGCCAATGCACTTGTGTACCACGTCATTTACACATTGCTATAGTAACGAGCGATTACACTAAAGCCCAAAAGATCATCGATAGTCTAGGTATTAGACAGAGAATCTTCCTCGTATGTAAAAGGAGCGCCTTTATAGATTAAGTAGATTGTTAAAATGTGAGAACGAAGAGCCAAAGAATTGTATGAAAATGTCATAAATGAAGTATGAAGGTCGTACAGTATCATAGTCATTAACCGCGAGTAAGTTTTGGGATTACATACTGACGATACGGCAGAAAGGAGATCTTCCTATCAAACGTTAATATACAAATTCTCTTTCTCAATTAAATTTTTATGACAGGGCCGGCAATAGTTTGTTTGGAGTAACATACTTGTAAAGCTTACTAATAGTGATAAAGAAAACCAATGTTTTAGTAAATTACGAAATAATTATATATAAGAACGGAAAAATAACATACAAAAAGAGGGAATATATTAGAAAACTAAACACAGATGGCAAGGAAAGAGGCAATAAAGAACAAGAGTTGTCTCTTTTGCTGGTGTTAGGTATCGTATTGATAACCATCAGCTAAGGCGTCGATCGAATTTACAATGGTTGTCTTGGTACATACCCAAAATTGGACCAATGTGACCGACCAGAATGATCAAAGGGTTCCACGCCAACTCATAGATCTTTGTGTTACGGAATCTGGTTAGGCGCCAAAAAAAAAGAACTGGGGGAAATGCACAGTTGGCGAAAGCACCGAGTAAAGACTTGAGCAAGTTAAAGAAAGGGATCAGAAAGCCGATAGCACCGACAAACACCATGATAGCCGCATGTAGACATGTACGAATGAGAACTTCTTTTAGTTTTCCGGACCGTTGAACGTTAATGTTGAGCACGTCTTTGACGTCTATGTAATGCAAAGGATACAAGTAAGATGGGTGCAGAAACGACGGAATTGATGGTGGTCAAGACGATGGCAACGATGTTCGCGGGGCTGGAGGGAAACATTGATGTAGATCGGACTGCTGGCAGCATTGGTGCCGTAATGTAGTAACCGCAAACTGCAATCGCGATACACAGGGCAGCACAGAGGCTCAAGGCACCGGTCAGAACAATAGGCCAGCGCTTAAGGTTTTGCATTGAGCCTTCCATGTTTGGATAGAAAACATTGGCACCGAAACTGAACGACATGGTGGCGAGAGCGACGAGGAAACCATCCCAAATAACGTTATCTTTGTAGCAGTCGGTGTGATTAGGAGCATCAATACCGGCAAGAACAATTGCAATCAGCATCTACAATAAGCTACGATATATACATCCGGCAGTGATATGATAAGCATCTTATTCATTGTTTGTGGGTTACAGAGCACAAAGGTGTGCTTACCATAGTTATAACAGCAACCAAACCCAAAAGACTGGTCCATGTAATGTTGTTCATTGATTTTGCAAAAATGTACGGAATGCCGATAACACCACACCAGATGATGGTCCATGCGAAACTACAGATTTCACCGGCTGTTCCTTTACACAGTTGATTTAATTATCTAGCTGTGAGTGCTACGTACAGGACAGTTGTACCGAGATAGATCCAGGTTGTGAAAAAGAAGGAGACCCAGCCTTCACTTGAGCCAAATGTTTCTGTAACAGTTTCTTAATTGAAAGACAGTGGTCGCTTTTTGTCCTTGTACATACATGTTTGCATGCTTATGCCTGTATACCACATGTCTAGAAATTAAATCATGCGTCGAATCTATTTTGTGTACTAGTTATGAGTGGCACAGTTTCTCAATAACGGTAAAAAAGACAGAGTATTGAGCGTTATTAACACTAAACATACAGTCATTTCAGAAAGTAAAGTCGCTGGTTTTGAGTTTAATGTCGTGCAAAAGATTTGCGTGTTCAACAATGAAATCGCCTGGTTCAGCAATAGAGTCGTGATCACATGTCACGGGCTTTGTTTATTTTTACCTGTCGCTAATTTTTCTTGGCATTTTAATTTTATAAAACGAGAATGCTAGGCCAGCAGAAAATTTTTCACAAAATGAAGGCCTATTTAAACACCTTTTTTAGCTTAATGAGCGAGGGGAGGGGCAGAGAGGAGGGATACATTTGGTATATTTATGCATATGGACATAATGTTCACAACTCTTTCATCAACTGAATGGCAGGCAATTCGCAATGGGTGTAGGAGGTGCACTTTTAAGACTCAGCATAACTTGAGCTCAAAATATAAATAGAAAGAGGCCGTCATTGTTTTAAAATACCAACCAGTTGACCAGCTTTGTACACAGTAATCCACCCAAGAACAACAAAACGAGCGGAAATAGATGCGGGAAGCACATTCTAACATGAAAAAAAAGGCGGGTCAATAAGTTATAAAGTAGGCGAAATCAAACCTGTACGTTCCGCAAAGCAATGTTGCAATGTACCGCAGTGGAGATACTACATGTCAGTTGGCCACGAAGGAGTCCCTGATTGGTACAATTATGCTAAACTTTTCTCTTTTTCCCTCTGACCTTGGGGCAATCAACCTGCCTATGCGTCAGCCCATACTCAAGAGAAAATATGCTTTTGGAACCAGCTGTGTGTTGGGTCGTTCAAGGGAGAGGACCTCGTAACAATGTGCGACGTGCGGACAGAGCTTAGAAACAACCCATGTAAAAAACCTTGCAGTTTCCTTCTTCATCTCATAGCTTCCATCTCCAAGCGAGGGAAGAAATACTATTGCATGGCCACACAACTGTGTTGAAGGAGAAGCTGAAAGAAGAAGAAAAAAATATTCCGTGGAATCCGTGAAAAAAAAAATCACAGTGAGCCAAGAAAATGAAGGCTTGTCATTGGCCAGTCAAATAAAAGTGAACACCAGGAAGGTGCACAGTCTTCTTCCCACCTCCTCTTTTTTTTTGCTTCCTTTGGTACACTAAGTGCTGTAAAATTACAAATGTCTCCCATTCCACACGGCTGACCAAAGCCATTCAACATTACTGAGGAAGAATGCAAAATTCTCAAGTTTCCTTTGCTTTTCAACACACTCTCTGCAGATGAATGGGCGGACATTGACAAAGTAGTAGATGAGCTGTGGAAGGTGACAAGTTTGCGTGTCAAGGACACCAAGACGGTCAAAGGCTCACTTATTCAATCCATTAACACCGTGGCATTGAATCGAAAGAACTGGTTCCAGTTGGTATCTTATTGCCACCAGCTGATCGCCCATTACAAACTCAAGAAGATTACCGCAACATTTAGTTTTGCATGGACTCTGAAAAAGCAAAAACAGCGTGCCTTGGACCTGGGTACTGTGAACGGTGTCAAACTCTCGCAACTGGGTGCAGAAAAGTTTGGAAAGGAGCTCGACAAACTCATGGATGCTGTTGACAAGGAGAACCGTGATCCGTCGCAGCCAACTGGTGCCACCACGACCGTCAAGCAAGAGCCAATGCAGCAACAGCAAGGTGTATTGGAAGAATGTGCCGAATACATGACAATGACTGAGGCCGATGGTGTAGCTTTCAAAGATTCGACCCTTGGCACGATTATCAAGCAAAAAGCAATCAGTATCTACTGCAAGTGGAAGAACGACATGCCCCTATCAGACCAAGAATTGCATTGGATGGCCTGTGGGTTGTCTTCCATCTTGGATTTGACAAAAATAGACTTGACTATGGAATTCTTGGACTGTACTAAGGACGAGCTGGAACAAGTGTCTAGTCCCCCAGTTGACAAGCGAAGTCGCAAGCAATATCATCTCCCTGCCTTGGTGAATCAAACATATGACATTGTCGTGTCGCTAATCGAAAAGGAACACAATGTCAAGAAGGCCATCTTGTACATTCAGCAAATCAAAACAAGCTGCCTTGACACAGAACGACTGCTTGCAGCACTGGTCACATTGATCAAGATCGTTGACACCAACGCATTTCTGCTCAACCCTGATAACTCGGCCCGCGTGACAGAGTATGATTTCATCACGCAAGTTTGGACACCCATCCTAAAGTCATTGATTGATATTCATGGTGTGTTGCGCATGAAAATTGGAGAGTCTAGTCCGGCCCAAGGCATTGTTTGTCGCAAGCGCTCCTACAGTGACGCCCGAGTTGGATTCAAGGTGGACTTGCGGCTGTTGTTTGATTCGCGCCAAAATGAACACGACCTGCTTGCTCTCGAAGCTGCAAAGGCGGGTGACGCATCCAAATTGTGCCATGACATTTGCAAACTTATGCGCGAGGCCAAGGACAATCTCGATGCTATCCTGCAGCACATCCTGAAACGTCACATGAAAAAGCCAGTCTTGTCCTGGTACATGCACACCAATGGTGTCAGTGCGCATACTGGCACAGTTCACATTGCTAAGGCTGGTCTTTATTTGGCATTGCATGAATCAAAAAACTCAGATAATGTCCTGTTACTGTTCCAATTCTATAACCATCAGTCTCACACCAGAGCTTTCTCTTCTTGATACGCTTCGGAACTCGCAAACTAACATTAATTAAACCTGTGGCAGAAATTGCACCTAAAATAGATGTTGCTTTTGCTTTAGTCATGGGCACTGTAACTACTGCAGGAGTGCCTTTCTTTGACCAAGCCATACCCCGTTTCAAATTAATGTGAAAGGCGGATTCATCAAGAAAGACACAATTTGTTGTGAAATCCAGGTCAGTTTGCTGCCACTTTTGAACCCAGTCATATCTGTGCTGAATCTTTTCCTTACTGTTCCTTTCCACAGGATGAAACTGTGCTTGCTTAATAGACAGATTACACTTATTTGTCATGAAGTTATAAACAGTACTACGAGAAACGTTGAGATCCTCATAGTTTTGTTTCAAACTTTCCACCACTTCATTGACAACGGCAGAAGGATTCTCATCAATGTAATCTAAAAGAAATTGCTTATGCTCATTCCCAAGAATACGACGTCGCCCTGATTTTTTCTTTTTTTCGAAAATGCTTTCTGGGTCTTCGTAATAACGTTTTACCCATCTCTGTGCTGCCCGGATATGAATCCCCAAATGTCTCGCAGCAGCAGAAGCATTCAAGCATTTGCTGAAAAATAAATGAAAAAAAAATCTAGTCTTGTCTTCATCAGAGTAAACCGTATAGCGTCGCTTATTGCATAATTCCATATCAACATCACACTTTCTTTCATCCGCAGTTGGAAGTATAACGGGATTAGATTGTCTTTCTGGAGGTTTATTCATTAAGAATTGAGTACGGGAACTTATTGTTTCAATAGCATACAACTCCTCATCTACAACTAGATCCATCGGCTGAACGCCATGTTCATCAACAATATGCCCCTGTCCATCTTCATAATAAAATTGCATACTCATCTTTAAATAGAGTGAAGAAAGCAAAACGGACATAGAAAATCGAACCCCTTTTTTATAACAATTTAATGCCAAGAATTTTATTGGATTACTAAGCGACAAGTAAAAATAAACGAAGTTCGTGACGCATGAGCATGACTTTATCTTTGGATCAATCGATATCATCTTTGAACGCACGATTTTTTTTGCACGACTTCAAACTCAAAATCAGCGACTTTTCTTTCTGAAATGACTGTACAAAATTCAGCAACAAAAAAGGATAAGGTATAGCTGTATTTTACAGGAATAATCAATGTTAAAAACAGTAGCTGGTTGTATAGAAGTGCGCTGATCAAACTTATTTCGTTGGTTAACTAGTTTGTTGATTTTTGTATTACTTTATGTGTCTTTTTGTCTTTTATATAAATGCACAAATGAAATCATAGTACTTTTTTTTACGGAAGCATGAGGGTTGGAAGTGTGTGAGTGTCGATAGTTACTGATACAAAAAAGAGAATGCAATGGAAACAAATGGTAGATAGATGTAAGAGAATGCCTGTATGTTTTTTTTTCTGCGTAGTGTTCGTCGTGTTTCGTAGTAGTAGTAGTAGTAGTTGATTGTTTTAACGTGGTTGACCCAAAGTGGTACCAGGTCCTGCTGCAGCAGCTTGCAAAACTTCAGCAGGAACTTGGACAACCACCTTTTGCTTTTGAGACACGACAAGTGCACTCGCATCTATCCTTTCATTTTAGTTTTGCTTCTCTTTGCAAAGTTTTTTTTTGCTAATATTACCTTCCATGTCTTCTTCAGGAGCTTCCAAATATCCCTTTTGATGCAAATAGCGCTTTTCCTAGTAACATATTCCACACAAGAATTATTATTTCATGTATTGGCCAAGTTCCTTTTTCCTTGCCTTTCCCGCAAAAGAACACTCTTCTTACTAGATCATGACGTAAATTAAACAAACGAGTCAACAACTCACCATCTTTATAGCTCTGTCATGAAGCTTTTGTTTCTTTTTCGTAATGACTTTGCCTTGGAAGACAGGTGCTTGTCTTCGTGGTTTTGAAACGCCTCCTGATCGTGCTATTTACGCAGTTACACTATTAATAATTCGTTCTTACTGCAAAATGAAAAGGGGTCATTGAAAAAAAGAGGAGAGTTGTTTCGATTCGTATATCAAAAACAAAATCATACTTTTCATTATGTTATATATAAGATCGCAAAGTATAAAACAAGGTATTGAAAAAAAAAATCAAGCGGGCTTGCTGCTGGAGGCTTTGTTGGGCTCCGCTGAACCGGGTTTGAGACCTTCAATTGAAACGAGTCACACACAGCTCGCAGATGAGTAGTAGACTTTACCCTTTGGACTCCTTCTTTTGAACCTATGATAAGCTCTTGGGGCCGCTGAAAAATCCCGTAGACCTGAACCGGGTAAATATATACCCAGTACAAAAACGTCACATCGTTACAATACCCAAATCACCTACCTATAACCATTCGATGTCATGAAAGATCAGAAAAAGATATATGTTTAGAGAAAGATAATAATAGTTAAAGCAAATATGCATGTGTCTATGGAAGGTGTATATGTGTAAGTGTGAATTGTTTGTGTTTATATATGGCGTGTACGGCGATTGTAATCGCGCCACGTTCTTGGCAAGTTGCGTCTTCTTCGGAAAGTGATGTTGGTTTCGAGATAGGCATCGACTGCATCGTCATCCAGTGACTGTTGGAAGTCGTGATACTGCTCGACGGACACAACACGCTCATAGTGTGCCGAAGCAGATTCAAAACTTTCCATTGTTTCTTGTAATTGCGCTATCAACTCTCGTTGACGGGCGCGGAGACGCTGCATTTGGCGCTCCCAACGCAGGCGCTGATGCTCTTGATCATCGATGATTGTCTCGGTCAAATCAATGATATTTGATTGTTGTTGTGTTTGTACGCGAGATCGACGATTTAAAATAAGTGGTTCGTCTTCTTCTTCACTGTCCGTTTGCGGCGGAGCGGTAGTGGTAACAGTAGCTGTAGTAGCATTAGCAGTAGTAGTAGCGTTGGTAGTGGTAGTACATGTAGTAGTCGGTGTTGTAGTAGTGACAATGGCGGCAGCACCTCGTGAACGATGATGATCGGCAAGATGCTCGTCCAGCGCCATATCTTTGAAAACATTTTCAGGAGCTGGTATGCGGATAAGCAAAATAGTAATGAAAGGATAGTAGTAGATGCATATTAATAAAGAAGTTAATAATATCGGTGCTGTAATTGATAGGCAGAATAGAGATAACTTATTGTTAGCCTACCGGTCGTATGCGAACAAAGGGGATTGTGCTTTGCCGTTGATTAAAGGATGTGTTGGGGGCAATCTGCCCAAAACCAGAACGGAAGACAAGATGCTTGCAAATCATGTACCGACTTGATAGATAACTGCTGCAGCCACAGATCCAATTATTGACCGATGGCTGGTAGATAGTATCGGTTGCTAAATTTTCTGTTCGGCCATACAGCTTTTTCCATGCACGGGTGAACATCTGATGCCAACGGGTCGCAGAGCGAGAACGAACAGTATCACGGTTGAACTTGTGACGAAGATTAGGGAAATGTCGCGCAACAATCACGTATACGAGCAAGTCTAGTCGTGCTCGGTTGAATTGGTGCAAATGATTACGTTTCAAAACCTTCCAATGCGCTTCAATCAACATTGTTGTTTTTCCTGCTGGGATACGGTCTGGAATACTGCTGCACGCCCATTTTCTCCAAGTAGACGGCTGATACCAATTGCGGTATAGATATATCCAGGCATCTATGTAATTCTTTGTGACGCAAAACATGTAGACTTCTAAGGTAGCAAGCTGATGGATTTGTTCGGCTGTGCGTTGTACAGTACCTATACAGAAAAGTCGCTACGATTAACTTACACATGATTTATGAAGTCATATTATATATATAGAGTAACTCGGGCAAAGATGTGAGACAAACGCGAAGACGTTACCATCTGGGATCAAAGGATGTTGGTGATAATGTTTTGTCATGAGCGAAACAATATGCTGACGATCCTCTTTTCGACAAATGATCCCAGTACGACCGCCGATAGATGGTGTAAAATGCATATCGACGAAGGGAAAATCTTCTCGTGCTTGATGGACATTGTGTGCAGGTAGGGTTCTGCTTTTGTCCTCGGCCAGTTTTTTATCCACTGACCGTTGCATATGCCAGAGGCAAAGGCGCAGTCGTGATTGTCCCCATACGCCCTCGATAGCATTCATCTGTGCCGCATCTTTATCCGAGAACATGAACGAAGGATCAACTCCGTCTTCCTTTAGTTGACCGAAAAACTCTGTAAGAGTTTCGGTCTTGGTCAAAGGTCCAGCCTCACGGAGGCCATGGTAGACCAAGTACGCGATGGGATACCCAACACCATTCACATTGGCGATTATCCCAAACAGCTCGGAGCCAGCACGATTTGTTTTGTAAGTCGAATCGATGCAGTACTCCTCCACATACTCGCACCCAACCAACAAAGAGAAAAACGGAGTTAGGAAACCAAATGCACAGACTTCAAAAGTATTCTTCCAAAACACCTAGGATTTATTATCATTGTATAAGATACTAGATACTACATGCTACCTAATATTACCTTTTTTTGTCGCTCATAGAGCAGAACAGCTCACAAAGCAAAGGCTAGGTTCATATGTTAGCATTCTAATATAATACGTACCTCGCGAAATCCTTGATTGCGTATTTTTCGACGACGAGCCTTGAGGATACCATTTGATCGTCGTTGAGGTGGTACTCGCTCCTAAAAGTCCCATGCCACCAATAATAGACTTGCATTGGCGTAACATCCGAGCCAGGAAAAAGGACAACAACTTCTTGGTACAGATCAGAGGAATTCGTAAGAAGCGCTCTGCTTTGAATATGGCTTCGGACGTTGGCAGGCACAGGGTTACGTGGTGACGGATCAGTACCGACACGTTCGTGTTCTGAGTGGGTAATTGACAGCTCCACATAACCGAGGGCTTTCTTGACGGTGCCTCTAATACGGCCACCACAACAAAATGTGGGCATTCGCTTGGTCAAACGCTGGCGCTCTGCTGTAGGAAGAGGATTCAAAAAAGTCTCGGATCAAGAGCAGTAAGCCGTGAACGAGATGTCGCGAGAGAGAGAAGGATCACCAACATTTTTTCCAATATAGTGGTAGCCATCCAACTGTTCAATTCTTTCGATGATGCTATCGATGATGCCGTCTTCGTCCTTCAATTCCAATTCCGGATCGATACAGATGTAGCCGGTAAACTCGTAAACCTACAATAAAACAAATAAATAATCATGTACGGAAGCAGTTATGTAAGTGGTTACTTCCAACATACAACTTCTTCATGGTCGTTCTCGTATTCTGAAAAAATCGGATAGTGATCCGGCAAATCGTCCAGAAACACCATTCGGTCGAGTGCAACGCGCTCACGAGGAGTCGCATTTTCACGACACGCAATGCAAGTCAAGTAAGGCTTGGTACGTCCGAGAAAATGCGTGCCTTCACGTGTCTTGCGGCAATCAGTACACTTGTACTGTCCGATTTCGCTAAACCTGCCAGCATTACGAGCCTCGCGTACGGTCGTAACCGAGTCGGAGTGAGTACTATCGTTGATTACTGTAATGTTAGGAGTAGCAGCGATGGTGGAGTTACTGTTGTTCATCTTAATGAAGGAGAGGGAAAGAGAAGGAACGAGAAACAAATACAAGCCACTTTTTTTTAAGAGCAATAATAAGCATTCAAACTCCCCGAGCAATGTATTATAGACTACGATCCCATTTTTATCACATGTAGATTGATATTTAGCAATAGAATGATTCTCATCATGTATTCTATACATCTCTTACTTATAAATAACTGACATTATACCTCTCTATTACTGTTTTTCAAAATCTAAGTAAAATATCATGTTTTTTTTTTCTCTCGGATAAATGTTTTACCGACAGAAGTCTACAGGATTTTTCAGCGTCTCCTATGATTCCTGAACCTATGATACTCCTGTGGAACAATACTACATTACTTTGGTCTTTCGCGTTAAAAAAACATTATTTCGCTCTATGGCGAGCAAAAGCTCTCTAAACTTTCAATCAACAGAAGCAGAAGAAAAGGACATAGGTAACAGGTCCGGACCTGATGGAATTAATTCTTTCATTTTTGGCAGGCGAGCAGCGCTTGCCAAAAATGAAAGATTGAGCTTTATCACGATAAGAAGGAAAGAGAGGAAAAGCTGCAAATAATGGGGAAATATATATCCTTGCCATTTTAATTAGAGAAGTGCTACAGGTACGAGTTTTTTTTCTTACGCGTACGAGTTTTTCTAGGCGGGTTTTTAAGGTGGTTGTGTTGTGAAACCTCATATGGCCAATCCGATTGCCGTCTTACACGTACGAGTTTTTTGCTAAAGGAACTGAACAGCATATGCGTACGAGTTTTTGTCTACCCATCAGTCTTCCCTTTTTTTAGATGGCCTTGTCAAAATAACTAGCTATTGTCATACTTCTTGATGTAAAACTGCTCATTTAATCGGCGCAATGGATTTAATTACGCTGTTCTTTTCGAAATCTTACAGGATTCTGTTCTGCCACTATGCAGTGATGGCATATACAAGTTTTGCATTCCTTCTTTTCTTTAAGTTCTTGGCCTTTTCCCAATATTAGATGGCACACTAAGCTCGATATCAGGTTTCTAATAAATCTAGCAATTCATTTGTTTGTGTGGAGGAGTTTTCTACCGAGTCCACATAGGTAACAATCACTTATAAAAGAACTCTGGGCAGCGCTCTTTTACGCCAGCGCTCTTTTACGCTTACGAGTTTTTTTTTAATCTGTTTCCACGTAAATCATAAGTAGCAGGGACAGATTTTGACAATTGTCTGCTTACGCGTACGAGTTTTTTCTATCCTGGTTCTACGTAAATCATGACTAGCTGGGCAAATTTTGACAGCTATCTGCTAACGCGTACGAGTTTTTTTAACCTGGTTCCACGTGGATCATAACTAGCTGGGACAAATTTGCACAGCTATCTGCTTACGGGTACGACTTTTCTTAAGCCTGGTTACAGTGAGTTATTTGTTAATCTGAAGACCGTTCAAACAGCTCCATAGGAAGTTGGAGGTTCATAGGAGACTTGCTCACTGTACTTTCGAGTACCATATGCTTTTCAAATGTAGAAAGACTATGATCTGATATATTAAGTAGAAATAATAGTGAGGGTAAGTACTGGCTTCCTAGTTCATAATAAGACCAAGACTCTAACATCGAAACATTGCGCCTTACATACATGACTTACATTCAAATGATCCTTGCACCCGAAACAGCCATTTTATCTATAGCTGACGATCTGGAAGAAGGTACTGTAGAAGGAGCAAAAATCTAAATGAATGGGGATCTAATGCAGATAGAAGGTATTGAAAATCTCACGTCTTATGCACGAACTCGCATGTGGAAAAGTGCATATTTCGTTCCATTGTTTCTAGAAACGTATAAATAGTATTGACAATTTTCATTACCTTTTTCCCGATAATATCTTGTTGTAAAAACC